TTTCAGATACTGCGGGTGGAAGGGAATTTGGTAAAACCTCTGTGGGGGAGCACTGTGGGAATATCAACCCAAATTACAAATGCACTAACTTTTGCATCCACCAATTCCACTTCTAGAAATATATCCTATGGATAATGTGTAAACGGACATATGTGTCTCTGGTATCATGTGCAAGTTTCTTTATGGCAAAATTATTTGTAATGGTGTAAGACTGGTAATAACTTGACTGTCTGTAAGTTAAGGGCTGGTTAAATAGATGATGGAAAAACTGAACTGGGGCTCCTGGGTGGCTCGGTGAGCTAAGCCTCTGCCTTCGTTTCAGGCCATGATCTCCGGGTCCTGGGATCGAGTCCCACATCAGGCTCTCTGCTCAGCAAGGAGCCGGCTTCCCTCTCTCTCTCTCTCTGCCTGCCTCTCTGCCTATTTGTGATCTCTCTCTCTCTGTCAAATAAATAATTAAAATCTTTAAAAAAACACAAAACTGAATATACACTGAGACCCTATATAGAAAGAGAAGGCTCTTTAGGAACTATTATGCGAAGACCTTCAACAAATAAGCAAAACATGTAAGGTGCAAAACAGTGTATAATATTTCACCATTTGTGGAAAAAAGGAGGGATGGAAAGTAAATATATATATTAACTTGTGGTGTAAGTATGGAATTATATTGGAACAATCTACAAGAAACTAGTAATGTTAGTTGCCTTGATTTGGGGTAGCTGGGTCAAGTGTTGCAATGAGCATCCTCTTATACTTTTTGAATTTTGAATCAAGAGAACATATTACATTAAAAAGAATTTTTTTTTAACATACCTACCCTTAGGTCCAACAATTTCACTTTTAGGAACTGCGCCTATGGGGAAAACATTAAATGACTGGGTAAATTTTCAATGATAAATATTATATATTTTAAATATTGTAATATTTGTAACATCAATAGGGAAAAATTTGTAAGTTTTTAATATTATGTTTTCATTTATAATATGGAAAAATAGAAAAGAACTTATATGTTCCAAAACAGGATTGATTATAAAAACAGTGCTGCTGGGGCGCCTGGGTAGCTCAGTGGTTAAGTGTCTGCCTTCAGCTCAGGTCATGATCCCAGGGTCCTGGGATCAAGCCCTGCATGGGGCTCCCTGCTTGGCGGGAAGCCTGCTTCTCCATCTCCCACTCCCCCTGTTTATGTTCCCTCTCTGGCTATCTCTCTCTCTGTCAAATAAATAAATAAAATCTTTAAAACAAAACAAAACAAAAAAAACAGTGCTGCTTTCAAATGATGAAATTCTCCATAGTCATTTAAACGATCTTGGAGAGGGGCGCGTGGGTAGCTCAGTGGACTAAGCGTCTGCCTTTGGCTTAGGCCATGATCCTAGAGTCCTGAGATTGAGCCCTAAGACAAGCCCCCAGACAGGCTCCCTGCTCTGCAGGGAGTCTGCTTCTCTTTTTCCCTCTCCTTCTGCCTCTGCCCCTCCCCCTGCTCATATGCTTTCTCTCCCTCTCTTTCTCTCAAATAAATAGATAAAATCTTAAAAAAAAAATTATCCTGGAGAAATGTATTCATGATGTAGAAAAATGTTGATGAGACTTTGCTGAGTTTTTAAAAGGCAAATTATAAGCACTGTATTTTGTCATTTTAAAGAAAATGTATAGGAAAAAAATTATAGGGACATAGAAAAAAAGTCTGGAATGTGGTTTACCAACATTTGGCAGTATTTCTCTGGTATCATTATGGTATTTCTAATCTTCTTTCAATTTATCTATATCTTCTGACTTTTTTTAAACAATGAACATGTATTATTATGATTAATGGGGGTGGGGGGAGCCAGGGCACAGATGTGGTCTCTAAAGAGCATTTCCTACTAAAAGGAAACAAGTGTCCTCAGAGAAATGGCTGATGCTCTGCTGACTACAGAAAGCAGGATAACTATCAGAGGAGTCAAATGGATTTAGGAGCCGATCTAAAGAGGTTCCCAAGGGCTAGCGATAAGAGAATGAATATGGGCTTCAGTAGAAGAATAACAGCAAAGGATTGAAACTCATCAAGTATGCATTAATGACGATTTTTTTTTTTTAATTTGTCAGAGAGAGTGAGCACAGGCAGACAGAGTGGCAGGCAGAGGCAGAGGGAAAAGCAGGCTTCCCGCTGAGCAAGGAGGCCAACGCGGGACTCCATCCCAAGACGGTGGGATCATGATCCGAGCCAAATGCAGCGGCTCAACCAATTGAGCCACCCAGGCATCCCACTAGTGACGATTTTAAAAGAATTCTCTTGCCTGGATCTATCATGCAATGGATAGCACATTGAACTTCTAAAAATAATTCTCTTTGGGGAGAAGTTAGGGATTCATTATTCTGAAAACTGATAAGTAAAAGAAACATTTAATCTGCCTATTCTACATAAATTGTACCTCAGGGTCACCCCTATTTGGTGAGGGGAGGTGTCTCTTTATAGAAGTGTTCCAGTTAATAAAATGAAGAAGGAATGGGGTGCCTTTGTGGCTCAGTCAGTTGAGTGACCGACTCTTGGTTTTGGCTCAAGGTCATGATCTCAGGTTCCTGGCATCTAGAGCTCAGAGTCAGGCTCTGAGATCAGCTAGTAGTTTGCTTTTCTCTTACTTCTCCCTGTCCCTCTCCCTGTGCCCTCCCTCTGCCCTTCTCCTCTCCGCCCATGCTCAGTGCTGGCATGCTCTCTCTCTCTCTCTCAAACAAATAAATCTTTAAAATGAAGAAGGAATGATAGAATATCACCATTTTGCAAACAATGAAACAGTAGATTTAGGTAATGATAACATTAACAGCAACCAACATTGCAATAAAAGAAAAATCAAATCATCCAATTCTTTAAAAAGTAAAAGAAAAAAAAAAGAACTAAAAAGTGTGGTGGGGATGAGGCTTCCACCCGCAGTATCTGAAAATACTTTCCAAAGTAATGTGTGTCAAACTTTTTGACCTTTGCCAATCTGATTGGTAAATAATATGAGAGTGGTTTTATTTGGGTATGTTTCTTTGTCAGCTTTTCTTCTTGGGAAAGTAGGGAAGGGGCATTGAAGACCTTGAGTAGCACTTGAACTGGTGTAGGGATGAAGGTCCTAAGGGTTTGACCCAGTGACAGCAGCCTTGGAATCAGCTGCAGCCTGAAGCTGATGATGAAGAAAGGAAAACCAAGAAGCTGGATTGAGCCTCGGGGGCTTAAAAGTTGCAAGGCCTTAACCTGTTGAACTTTTTTGAGCAACAACCCTGTAAACAATCATGAGTCCTTAACTCTGCAACTGAAGAGAAAAAAAAAAGAGCTGTTTTGCTCATTTAATAAACATGGGTTACACACACGACACTGTGCTCACTGAGGTAGGTTCCTAAAGACAGCAAAGACACATCCTTGCAGTCATGAAACTTCCAGTATTGTAAGAAGACTAAAAAAAACCCTCGATTTAGAAAGCAGTATTGCTGGTGTAACATTAAGGTAGAAGCATAACATACACAAGCAACATGGAAAACAGGAGGGGAATCTAAGTTTGTCTTCAGGAACCAGAGACTTCACAGAAGAAATAGCTTTTGAGATAAAATTTGAAGACTAAGTTGGTGTTTGCCAGGACGAGAGCCAGGAGCAAGCGGGTTTCAGAAAGAGGGAAAGGAATTTGCAAGACATAACATGAAACTACAAAGGCATATTCTGGGAACTACAAGTACCTGTTTTGCTGGAGCACAATGTAAGGGTCCTAGGACCTGTTCTCTAGCCTGCCATGAAGACGATAACTTACCTCCCTTATTCTAGACCTGGGACAAGGGGACCGCCTTAAGCATTCCTTTAAGTTTTTAAAACTGGTTTCCTGTTGGGAAAGGGACAGGACATCCCACTTAGAGGGGAGCTATGGATTGTGGGCCCGGCTGCATTTTAGAGCAGTTTTAAAATGCAGTCCAAGAGAGGCTGATAACAAAAAGGAAAAGTGAGAAGGTGTTTTATTTTTTTTAAGATTTTATTTATTTGAGAAAGAGAGCAAACGGTGGGGAGGGGCAGAGGGAGAGGGAGAAGCAGACTCCAAGCTACATGACTGGATCCCAGGAACCTGAGCCTGGACTCAGGATCTGAGCCGAAAGCAGACCCTCAACTGAGCCACCCAGGCGCCCGAAATTCGAGAAGGTTTAAGGCCCAACAGAAACCCTTGCTGTGAGTTGGCAACATTCTACTTCCTTCAATTATAGATCCTTGTAGAAGGAGGAAGATGAGTCAGTCAGAAATTAATGGTCTCAACTTTTTCTGCAGCGGTAAGGCTTTGTATCCACGGCAGTTTTAAATGGGCTACCTACCACCCAGCGTTTATTTCCAAACAAATCCTTTTCTCTTTATTTATTTATTGCTGTACAACGTAAGCGCTCATCTAAATAGGTAGTTTGATGCACTTATTTCAAAACTACTGATTATACGTAAAATACCATAATAGAAAAGGTTGCTGTTGAGTGCAGTGCTGGAGAGAAGTGACAAGAAATCAATTAGCATTACAGAATCGGTCCCAAAGCGTGTGCGGAAAACAGCAGTAGCTTGGTTCTAAACAAGCAAGGCCTGTGCCATACGTCTGGGATTGCACCGTACATTCTTCATAAAGATCGGCTGAGCGACTTTACAGAGCCGTGCTCCCACGCCTCTCGACACGCTCACGGAGGAGCTTCCCGTTTCTCCGACAGTCACTTCCCCTTGCTTGGGGGGTGTGGAGGGGGGGCTCGAGATCAGGTTACACAAGCTCGACCCCTGGCCACCGCGCCCTGCCTGGCTCGAAAGACGCGTGAGCGGCTAGCACCCGGTCTCTGCGTCCGCGGGAGCCTCGCGAGGTCGCGGACCACCTGCCGGCGAGCGATGGGTAGGACACAGGCACCAGAGCCAGGGGGCAGTCTTCAGCCCGCGCACGTAGCGCCGGAGGGGCCAGGGAAGGCCCCGCCCTACTCTCCGCCCCCTTCCTCGCTCCGCCAGGTGCGCGTGCGCCGCAGCCCCGCCCGCCGACCCGCCTGGCTCCTATCCCGCTCGGCGGCAAGCGCCTGGTTCTTAACTCCCTTCAGCGGCCTCGCACACGCGCGGTTCCAGCCCCGGCCTCCTCCTCGTCTGCCCGGCGGTGGGGCCATGGCGTGTCGGTGGCGGCCCGAGGCTGGCGTCGGGGCCCGCGGCGCGCTGGCGCTGCTGGCGCTGGCTCTGAACGTGCCGGGGGCCAGGGGCCGGGCGCTCGAGTGGTACTCGGCCGTGGTGAGCACCGAGTACGTGGACCCGCACACGAACCGCACCGTGTGGAGCGTCTCGGAGAGCGGCCGCTTCGGCGACAGCTCGCCCAAGGAGGGCGCGCAGGGCCTGGTGGGCGTCCCGCGCGCGGCGGACCGCGACCCCGAGGGCTGCGCGCCAGACACTCGCTTCCTCGTGCCGGCGCCCGGCGGCCGGGGGGACGCGCCCTGGGTGGCCCTGGTGGCGCGCGGGGGCTGCACCTTCAAGGACAAGGTGCTGGTGGCGGCGCGGAGGAACGCCTCGGCCGTGGTCCTCTACAACGGGGAGGGCCACGGGAACCTCACCACGCCCATGTCCCACGCGGGTGAGCGGAGGCCGGGGGACGCGGGGAGGCGGCGGGGGAACTCTGTAGCTTAGTCATGGGCGACGGCCCTCTCGACCTCGGCCTTGATCCCCAGGGGCACGCCGCGAAGGGGCTGGGGGCGCGACTCTGATGGCTTCTGGCAGTCAGGAACTGGGAGGGAAGCTCTGGATGGGCGCGCCGTGACCCCCCCCCCCGGGGGGGGGCTTTTTGGGCCGTAGGCGGGCCTGATTAGATCTTCGCCTTGGGCTCTTCAGGTGCGGTCGGGGGGTGCCCTCTGGAGGCCCTTCAGGTGTAGGGGAGAACGAAAGAAATAAACACCCACCCGAAGAGGACGGTGTTGGAAATTCTCATGATTGCTCAATCATGGGTCCCTTTCCATTCATCGTTTTCACAAAGTCAAGTGAGGTAGGAATTGAAGCTCGCTCCTAGCTCACTCCCAAGGTCTGGCAGTCCCTTCACCAATGTCAAGTGGTGGTTTGGTCGGGCTCTGGTTTCTCCACTTTCATAAAACGTGTGTGTATTCTGAACTTCTGAGTCAGAAAAGCTGGATTTAAGTGCGGATATGCTTTCTCACTTTCTACATGTAAGGTTGTAATAACCGGCCCTACTGCCAGTCCTCGAGTCTTGAGTTTAGATGAAATTTTTCAGGTTGTGTTCATTCAGGAAAAGGTCTTGCTCTTCTCCAGGAGACGCTTCCCACACACCTATTCTCCAGGGCAACAGGTTTCGTCTTCAAGCCCTAGTGACAGTTTGAGAATCTAATTTTGCAAGGTGTCCTCCTCACAACTGAAATCCGAGTGCTATAGGACCTGAACCCAGCAGAGTGAACATTTTTCTGTTAGGATTTTTAAGATCATGACTCATTCTGAATTTATTGTGATTAAAGTCTTTTTTAAAGTTGCTGCTGCTGCAAGTCAGACATCCTATTTCCTGTACTTTTGTTTTTCATTCTGCTTTGATTTCTCAAAAGCAAGTTCGAACTTAACTCTAATGTCAGAAAAGAGACTTTGTATTTGGTCTGTTTTAGCTGCGATGGGAATAGAAATCAGTTGAGAGGTGAGAAAATGGAGAGTGTTAGAACAATTCTTTCAAGCACAGCTCAAGATGTGCTGGGAAGTGTGCAGAAACTATGGGACAAGGGGGGGTTAGGGTGGATGATGATAGGGCATATTGAAATTGGATGGGAGTGATGCGGTAGAGATCGAGCAGAGAGGAGAAGTAGCCCCAAGAGTCCGCTCTTAAGAGGGCCATGTCTAGGGTACTTTGGAGGGGTTCGCCTTAGACAGTAGAGGGAAATTCTCAGTTGCAACAGAAGGAAGTGGTTTTGGAAGAGGAAGTAGGAGCAGAGGCCTGTGTGGTGGCATTGGGTGAGGCGCCACCTTTGGTGCAACTATTCTAGTGATTACAAGTCTACCAAATTGTCATTGTACCCAAGCCGTGTTTCCATAAAACTACCATGAAAAGCCCTGTCAGATTTCAGAGACTATTCCTGGTACATCCTATTGATGGTGTTTTCCCAATTTTAGTAGTCCTTTTTTTTTTTTTTTTTAAGATTTTATTTATTTATTTGACCGAAAGAGAAAGAACACAAGCAGGCCGAGAGAGAGGGAGAAGCAGAATCGCCGAAGAGCAGGTAGCCCAATGCAGGGTTCATACCCAGCACCCTGGGACCATGACCCGAGCTGGAAGTAGTTGCTTAACTGATCGAGCCACCCAGGCGCCCCCAATTTTAGTAGTTCTGTCAAAGAAAAGAGGTTAGTGTGTCAGGATTCTCTGAGTCTGGGTCCTTGCAGTCTCTTCTAAGTCTACAACATCTTCATTTGGACCTTTTCTTTTCAATGGCTGGCGCAGGGACTACAATTTCCTAAATCTGTTTACTGCATTTTTTGATAATGATGTTAGCATTTTTCCAGGGTACTAGCACTTGCTCTAACCATGAGTCAGCCACCTTGCTTATGTTATTTGACATAATTTAGCCAGGCCCCAAAAAACACCTCGTTGATGTTTATTTTAAATCCTCTTGAGTTTCTCTTCTATTATCAACGTCCATTCTAGTCTTTTTACCCTGAGAATCATTCTGTTTGAGAAAAGAGATAAAAGTAACAGCTTTAGCAATTTTTTTTAATGTGTGGAAGTACCCAGTGTGTAGGCAGTGTGCTCAGTGCTCTCCATACAGTGGCTCCCTTAACCCTCCTGACAGCCTTTTAACATAGGTGCTTTAACCCCATTCTGTGGATGAGGAAACTGGTCCATGGTAAGGGTGGGGGTCTATACATAGCCAGATCATTCTTTGTTGTGGGAGGGGCTGGCTGTTCTGTGCATTAATGGGATGTTTAGCCTACTAGATTGCAACAGTACTTACCCAATTGTGACAACCAAAAATGTGTCCAGATAATACCAAGGCGGGGGGTACTGATGACAGAATCATCCAATGTTTTGAACCACTGACTTAAAGGCAGATTAATTTGGTAGCATTGTGACCAGTGGTTTAAACAGAGAAAAATCTGCAGAGACTCTAGCCCATTGGGCTGATCCAAGGAGAAATAAAATTGACCCTTGAACAACACAAGGTTTAGAGGTACCAACCCCCTGTGCAGTGGAAAAGATTTTCCGTATAACTTTTGACTCCCCCAAAACTTAACCAGTGATAGCCTCCTGTTGACTGGGCATTTTACCAATAACATAAACAGTAAACACATTTTATATGTTATTATGTTTTGCACACTGGATTCTTATAATGTAAGCTAGAGAGAAGGAAATGTTATATTAAAATCAAAGAGAAAATACATTTACTATACTGTACTGTATTGGGGGGGAAATCCTTGCATAAGTTAACCCACACATTTCAAACCTGTGTTGTTCAAGGGTCAACTGTATAAAGGCCAATACTGTAGCAGTGACTATAGGAATGGAAAAGTATGACCTTCACAGAACTTGGCCCAACTGGGAAAAAAGGTACAGATGTATCATGACTTTTTGAGAATGGAATAGCATTAAGAATTGGAATGAATAGAATTAAGTCAGAAGACAAACTGGCTTTGACATACTTGAATTTGAAATGTTACATAGAACCTTGAATGTAGCTCAAGTTAGGTTTCTTGGATTTTGTCAGAATGTGGCTGGCTGCAGGAAAAACCACAGATTTCAGTGGTTTCGATGCTCCTGTGTAGCACTCGTGTTCTGCAAAACAGATAAGAGATGGCTGCTTGTAAAAATGAATCATGAGTCTTTTCCCAAATCTCAGGGAGAATTTCTGCAGTTTTTCTTTTTTTTTTTTAAGATTTTATTTATTTATTTGACAGACAGAGATCACAAGTAGGCGGAGAAGCAGGCAGAGAGAGGAGGAAGCAGGGTCCCTCCTGAGCAGAGAGCCCGATGAGGGGCTCGATCCCAGGACCCTGGGATCATGACCTGAGCCGAAGGCAGAGGCTTTAACCCACTGAGCCACCCAGGCGCCCTCTGCAGTTTTTCTTAAGCCTGTTGCTTGACTGTACTAAATCCAGTACAAGATACTTTGGGTATAAATCAGTGTTTTATTGTGTTTCTAAAAATAAAATCATGATTTTAAGATAATCTTTGAGAACAACTATAAGGACTGTTGAACTAATTAGTTTCCTGTTAATTAATCTTAGTTAATTCTCTTTACTTTAGCAGACAGAATAATGAGTAGCCACTTTGGGCTAAGTATTGTGCTTGCTCAGGTATAGAAGTGCATGACACATGCCTGCCTTTGAGGAGTTTGTGACCTGGTGGGGGTGATAAACAACCTTCCATACAATATGGTTTGGATCTTGATGGAATTAACACACATGGTTGCTTAGGAAGCATAAAGTAAGAACATCTAAAACAGATACTGCAGGGGTGACTAGAAGTTAGTTTGACCAAGATGAGTAAAAATTGATACAAGTCAAATCATTAAAACAAAAGTTCTTAGGGATCCCTGGGTGGCTCAGTTGGTTAAATGTCTGCCTTCAGCTCAGGTCATGATCCACTTTCAGGGATAGAGTCCCTGGTCCTGAGCAGGGAGCCTGCTTCTCCCTCTGCCCTGCCACTCCCTCGCTTGTGTGCACTTTCTGTCTCTGACAAATAAATAAAATCTTTTTAAAAAAAGAAAGGGAAAGAAACTTGAAAAAAAAATAAAAGTTTTTATAGAGCCTTGGCCTTACTTAGTTTGATTATTGTTGGTTAACAAATAGGATGATCCTTTAGCTGAAATCTTGGCATGTTCTTTTAAGCATAGATTCATTCATTCACTCTGTATATGTTAACTTCATTCATTCTGTTAACAGCTGTTTACTGAGTGCCAGCTACTGGCAAGGCTTAGAGCTATGTTTGAAGAAAGGGCCGGAGTTGGGGTGGAGGAAAATGACAAAAATGTAGAAGTCTCTAGTGTTATAGAAGATATGCATTTTGCATTTGCAGAGCATGATAAATAGTTTATGAATAATAAATTTTTATGTTGTATATCAACATGATGATGATGTGCTCTACTCAAATGATCTAAAAACGTGGATTTTAATTATGTATTTTGGTGCTGTAGGAAAACAGAAATGGCACCTCACAGCCACGCATAGAAGGTCGGTTTAACTAAGATGGTTCCCAGAAAGATGGAGTTTGGAAGGATATGTTGGTGGAGAGGGTGTGTCTGAGTGTGAAGGAGGGGGTGTGGGCTATAGGCATTCTTGGTGGTGGGAATAGCATTGCAAGAGACTGAATCCTTGAGATAAAGTAATGCATTTAGGAACCCTGCAAAGAGTTGTATATTCAACAAATACAAAATATTTTTGAGCAAGTCAAATTATCCAAAACATAATTTAAATTTCCAAGAAAAGAATTAAACATTTGTTTTTTGTGCCCTCCCAGCACTCCCTAGTCAACCATAAAAACGTTTCTGTTTCGCATAATAGCTTCAGATCTCAGAGACATTTGCATTCATATTGGGTGTACCATTTCTATTAATATTCTCCGTATCGGAGCATTTCAACTATAATACAGCCAGTTTTTCAGATGGATTCATCCATACAGAAACTCTTCTATGGGTCACCACTGCATGATACTTGGCTACAAAAACTAATAAATAAGAACAGGTAGTACTCGTCTAGTGAGGGAGAGAAACCTATAAAGAAATTCTAGTAGGTGTTTTATACACCTACTAGAGCTGTATCTAAGAGGAACTGATGCACTGCAGGCACAAAGGGGTGGGTGGTGCTGAGAAGCCCTGTGTTGGGCTTGTGCTGAATCTTGAAGATTTGACCACAATTTTTCCAGGTTTGGGGGCAGAAGGTGGAGAGGGCATGGAATTTATGGGAAAGAAAGAAATGGGATTCTCTTGCCGGGACTCTTAACATGTATTTCTTGCTGCCTGAATTAGTTTTCTAGAGCAGGAATCTAATCCACCACTTTAAATATTTCAGTAGTTCCCACTCCCTTCAAAGAATGCTGAAATCTAAATAGTTTCCTTTGGGAGGAGAGAAATGGTACACTAGACTTACATGTAACCTCTAGAATTTTGAACCTATTGACCAAGACAGGATTTCTTACTTCTTTGTTTTTGAGCAAGTAGTAAGAGGAACACTGACATCTGAAAGGAAACAGAAATATATTCAGTTTTATTTCTGGCATGGAAGTTTTATATTACAGACAATTTGGCTTGCTAAAGAGTACTGTATTTGGTATTTATTATTTGAGAAGTAGGTTTATGACCCTGTACTCTGTACACAGACATTGTGCTAAGTAAGACAACAATAATCTGCCTTTGCGCTTTCCTGTCTAATGGTGAGAGGTATAGATTCTTTGGGGGAGGGAGAGGGATTGCACAGGATGACCATTTTTACAGAAGCATGACTGGTAACAGTGTTAAGGACTAGGGAAAGAAAATCCTAAGAACTTTTTCTCCTCTCCCAAGTCTTTGCATGTCTGTGTGTCCTATGAAGAAACTCAGCTGTGTAGTTGGGAAATAAGCTGTGATTTGCTCTCATGTGTACCTGAGCCTCTCCAGGATTGGCCGGGGAGGTGGCAGTGCATGATGAAGTAAGGATGCCTGTGCCTGGTATCCCTTCCAGTCATGCACACGGTGACCCCAAGCTAGTGCATTTTTACTCAGCTGCCGTATCTCTAGTTCATCCTAAAAGATGTTCCAGAATATCAGTGAGTCTTCATCCTGTGTTTTATTAATTTAAAGAAGTTCCCAGAAGCAGTCTTGCTGCTATAATTAGTATAGCAAATGGTTTAGCTGTCATCCTAGACAGTATTTTTTTTTAATGATTTCTTTTAAATCAGTGAACTGTTTTAGTTTCCTAGGTGAAAAATTTCAAGTTAATATTGCAAGTGTTTTCAGTTCAGTGGATCCCTCTGACAATCACTGTGTGTCAGTTGCCCCTTCCTTTGAAAATTTTGGTGTTCAAGAACCTCTCTAATCTCAATTCTCTACCACCTCTCATTTATTCATTCATTTATTCAACAAATATTTATGAAACACTTCAGGTTCTATGTAAGGCACTGGGGATAAAGAGATAAACAAGATACCTTTACATATACAGTAGTCACCCCCCTTATCGTGGTTTCAGTTACCCGAGGTCAGCCTCCGTCTGGAAGTAGATCTTTCTTCTGACTTACAGTCAGAAGGTTAGTAGTAGCCTAACGTTAGGTCATAATGTCTACATCATTCACCTCAATTCATCTGATCACATGGGCATTTTATCATCTCACATTGTCACAAGAAGGGTGAGTATAGTACAAAGTATTTTGAGAGACCACATTCATGACTCTTTTTGCAGCATGTTGTTACAATTGCCCTACTTTATTATTAGTTGTTAATCTCTTATTGTACCTAATTTATAAATTAAACTTTATCATAGGTATGTATAGGGAAAAAACAGCATATATATATAGTATCCATTGCTATTTGCAGTTTCAGGCAGTCACTGGAGGTCTTGGGATGTATCCCTTGTGATAAGGGGGACAACTGTATTTTAGTCATTAACCAGATTGGACCTCACCATCCCAAATATGTTTTTATGATGATTTCACAGCCTAAAAAGCCTCCCTTTGTTTGCTTGGTAAACTTTTCCTGTCCTTCCAACATGTAGCTCAAGTGTGCTTCCTAGGGAAAGCATTCTCTCCACCTCAGACAAAATTATCACTTCATTTCTGCAGCACTTTCTATTCCACTTTCTTAGTAAATAAGAAATAGTCCAAAGTAGAAAAATTCTCATTCTCGTTTTATAGCTGAAGAAATACTCTCAGAGGGTAGTTTCTCCAGACCCAGACAGTGGATGACAGATCTGGACCGAGTCTGCGTGGTTCTGAAGATTGGGTCCCACATGAGGAGGCAGGACAGAGATAATGCATGGGTCCTGGAGGTCTTTAGCCCCTAGAACTGGGTATATGACATTCAGCAGCTCTCCCAATTTCTGAGCCCTCATCTGTACAATGGTAATTTGGCTTCTCTGCTTCAAGTGAGACGTAAATGTGAAAGTGCTCCAAAGTTGGTTTTCCCCATTTAACACAAAGAACATTATGTCAGTACCGAATTTTATGTAGCTGTGACCTTGGCATGGAAACATTTTCTGCGTATAACTTTTTAACTGAGACCAACACATGGGGTTCATTAAACCGTTCTTTCTACTTGAGTATGTGCTTGAAGTTTTCCACAAAAGGAGGTTTATGAGAAAAGGCTTTCAGCTTATAAAGTTCCATGTAATTGTAAGTGGTATAATTATCCTAATAATTGTTTCTGTGCTTGTGTTTCTCAGCTTCTAGATGTTTGTTTTCCTGAAGGCAGGAAATGCCTTCCTCCTTATAGTGTCTCCCCAGTGATGACATGGCAGACTGCATGAGTGGGGAGACAAGTACAATTTTTGCTAAGTGACACTTTTGGCCCTGGTCAAAGGACTGGCCTCCAGGCAGGAGCCACCTTAGAAGGGTGCCCTTCTGGTGTTTCAGTAACTAAATCCTGATGGCAGGGGGCCACGGTAGATTTGCTGCAGGTTAAAGTTCCTCTCTGCAATAAAATTGTTAAAACACCGTTTTGAAGTGATGCCAGGGAACATTCTTTATGTGTATTTTTATTTTTATTTATTTATTTTTAAAGATTTTATTTATTTGAGAGAGAGCACAGCAAGGGGAGCAGCAGGTAGAGGGAGAGGGAGAAGCGGGCTCCCTGCTCAGTGGGGAGCCTGACGTGGGCCTTGATCCCGGGACCCCAGGATCATAACCTGAGCTGAAGACAGGCGCTTAACTGACTGAGCCACCCAGGCACCCCTTTATGTGTATTTTTAAAATTAGTTTTTGAATAGATACTATGTGCACGTCGTACAGAATTTTTATTGTGTCCAGCTCCTCTCCCCAGACGCAGTCAGGGTCCCTAGGCTCTGGGTCGCCTTTCAGAGGCAGTCCAAATTGATGTGACATGCAGATCTTTCATCCACATAGTTTGACATGTTGCACTTTCCCCTCGGTAGTCTTGCCTACTGTTCATACTAACGGAGTCGCTGCCTCAGTCCCTGTACACATACTATAGTGTATGTAACCCTTTTCCTGTTGATGGACGTTTAGATTGCGATGGCAAAAACTTATAGAAGATAAATTTGACAACAGATATCTTTACAGATAGCTCCTGTATACACATGCAAGTGTATTTGTGCATAAGTTCTTGGACATGGAATTGCTGTGCATTAAATTTCTTGGGAAAAATAAATAAAATTTTTTTGATAGCCATTGCCCTCCATGCAAGATTGTAATGATAAACTCCCCCTGCAGTGTGCAAGAATGCAGATTTGTGCTCATTCTTGCCATTATGGAGGATCAAAACTATTTGATCTTTGCCAGTCATATAGGTACAGATGGTCCCTGACTTATTGTGGTTTGACTTGGAATTATTTGACTTTATGATGGTACAAAAGCAGTACGCATTCAGTGGAAACCATACTTCAAATTTTGAATTTGGATCCTTTCTGGAGCTAGTGATATGCCCTACAGGACTCTCTCATGATGCTGCGTTGTAGCAGCAGCCCCAGCTCCCAATCTGCCACATGATCACAAAGGTCAACAACCATTCTCTTCCCAGATCACCATTTAGTTTTTTTACTTTTGGTACTATGTTCACAAAATTACGTGAGCTAGCACTTTCTGTAGGCACGGTGTTAGAGGATTTTGACCGACAGTAGACTGTTATAAGTGTTCCAAGCATTTTAAGGTAGGCTAGGTTAAGCTGTGATGTTCAATATTAAGTGCATTTTCTACTTAGGATATTTTCAACTTAGGATAGGTTTTCAGGATGCAATGCACATAAGTTGAAAATCTTTTTATTTATCTTTTATTTTTTTTTTAAGATTTTATTTTTTTTATTTATTTGACAGAGAGGGGGAGATCACAAGCAGGCAGAGAGGCAGGCAGAGAGAGGGGAGGAAGCAGTCTCCCTGCTGAGCAGAGAGCCCGACGTGGGACTCGATCCCAGGACCCTGAGATCATGACCTGAGTCGAAGGCAGAGGCTTAACCCACTGAGCCACTCAGGCGCCCCAGTTGAAGATCTTTTTAATGTTTTCATTTGTACCATGACTTTTCATGAGTTTAAAATCTATTTGTTGGGGAGTGACCACAGAGGTGTACAGGTTTTCTTTTTGGGGCAATGAAAATGTCAATTGAATTAGATTGTGGTGATGGTCGCAGAGCCTTTATGAGTATACTAAAAAACGGTGAATTGTATACTTTAAAAGGGTGAGTTTTATGCCATGTGAATTCTTATCTAACTAAAGCTGATACGTTAAAAAAAGAAAGATTTTTTGTCTTTTCTGCAAACTGATTTAATTTCCTTTGTTTTTCTGTTGCTCTTTTTCTTACAGGAAATTGTTTTCTGTCTTTGTTATATTACATGTGTTTTTCTCCCCCTTTGGCCATTTGCTTTTTTGATCTTGATTCCTTGATTTTGCTCTTTTTTAGCCATGTGGAAAATTTTCAGTTTTATATTTCCTCTCTTTTTTATATATTTAAATCTTTGATTGACTTGGAACTTATTTTGCCATTAATTGTGAGAAAGGGATACAGCTTTTTTATTTTCCCTCAGATAAGACCCAGTTATCCCCATACTATTTTTGAAAAATTATCCCGGTTATCCCATTGATTTAAGATTACAGTTTTATCATATAGTAAGGGTTTTTTTCATATTTGGGTCTAATTTCTGGACTTCGATTCTACCCCTTTATTCTGGTTGTCTTCTTAGCTACTACCACACTGTTTTAATTTCTTTAATTGTAAAGGTTAGTTCAGGTTTTACTTTTAAAAGGTTTTCCTGATCGTTTGTGATTATTTTTCCCCTAGTGAACTTCAGAAACAGCATTTTTAAGGTTTAAAGAATTCAATTGATAATTTATGCTTATTATATTAATTTATAGATAGATTTGTATAAACTGTTTTACCCCTTTCCTAATTTTTTTATATTATGTCTGCTCATTCCTTCAGACCAGTGTTAAGTAATAGTGATCATAGAAGAAATTCTCAGATTGCCTCCCTCTGATTAACAAGCATACTTTAGGTATTATGTTTTTTTTGTTTTTAAGATTTTATTTATTTGAGAGAGAGAGAACATGGGAGGGAGAAGCAGACTTCCCGCTGAGTGGGGAGCCTCATGCAGGGCTTGATCCCGGGACCCCGGGATCATGACCTGAGCCAAAGGCAGATGCCACCCAGGCGCCCCAGGTATTAAGTATTAATATTCATAGGTGAAATTAGTCTGGTTCTTTTGGTTTACTCCCGTGTTTAGCTTTATTTTCTAGAAATAATTTTTTAAACTTTTTAACTTTTTAATCTACTGTGGAATAATTTTAGTACCATCAGTGTTCAAGTTTTGTGGTAGAATTCACCTGTGGAATTGAATGGGGCTCTTACCCTTGCGGGGGGAATAGTTATTAGAGACTTGTTATACTTCTAATGCAGTCAGTTTGTTTTCTGTTTTGGGGCCAGTTTTGGTAACTTATGTTTTTCTTGAAAATTAAACATTTTTTGTAAGTTTTTGGATGTTACATATAGACAAGCTGTAGTATTCTCATATTTTTCTCTTACTTTCTCTGTATCTCATTTTTGTTCTTCATATTGACTTTTTTTTGTTCTTCCCCACAGGAACTGGAAATATAGTGGTCATTATGGTGAGCTACCCAAAAGGAAGAGAAATTTTGGATCTGGTGCAGAAAGGCATTGCAGTGAAAATGACCATAGGGGTGGGCACCCGTCATGTACAGGAGTTCATCAGTGGTCAGTCTGTGGTATTTGTGGCCATCGCCTTCATCACCATGATGATTATCTCATTAGCCTGGCTGATATTTTACTATATACAGCGTTTCCTATATACTGGCTCACAGTTTGGAAGTCAGGTAATTATGGTTAATTCTTTTTAACTTTACATTTTAAAAGATAGTTCATAAATATTTCTTATATATTCCCTGAAACTATATTAGAGTTTTGTGGGTTTTTGGACCACATTCTTAATTTCATTTTCACTCATACTATTTCATTAGTATAACTTTTTAAAAATAATTTTTAATTAGACTGTATTAAATTTTCTGTTCTGTGGGAAATTAAATATCTTTAAGTGGGGTCATTTTTGCTTGTTTTGTTCCTCTGAATACCCTCTTTCTCTTTTTCAGACATAAAGGAATAATAAATAGGCCTGAGGTAGAGTAGACGTGGTTCTGTGTTTTAAAACAAGGAGAACCCTGGGCCTGAAGATGAGGCGCAGGGTGGGAGGGGCTTCCTGGCTTCTGTTGTGGGGCAACTTTCGAAGCTATTTATCTGCAGAGAGATAGTGTCTCTGTCACAGCAAAGAGGAGGGCACTTGAAGAGCCAGAGGCTTCCACAGATAGGCCTTTTAATTTCACACTTACCCTATTGTCTTGAAAAGCCACTCTTTTTGGCTTTGTAGGTAGTCCTTTCTGGTCATCTTGTACATGCTGACTAGGTGAAAACTTCTTTCTTTTTTAGGGACAGGTATTAGTAGATGAATCAGTGGGACCCCCTCTTCCCATCCTCAGCTTCCTACTCTATTGCCAATGTTTACACATAAGCATTGGTTTCTTCTTCAGGCATGGAATTGAAAATAAATATTCTTGATCAAACAGCTCTTAAGTTATATGTGGCTGTTTTATACATTAAGATGTAAATGGTAATTTTTGTTTTTTTATTATAGTCAATTTAACTTTGTTTTTTTAAAAGATTTTTTTCTGTAAGCTTATGTGAATTTTTTAAAATAATGACTTAAAATTTTTAGTGATAATATTTTTCCTATCTAAGAGCCATAGGAAAGAAGCTAAGAAAATCATTGGCCAGCTTCCACTTCATACTGTAAAGCATGGAGAAAAGGTAACATTTTCATGGGTTTTTTGTTTGTTTTAGACTAAAGTATGTATCTGTTTATATGTCTAACTAAAACTTTCCAGTCTGTTAAATGTACATTGAACATGTGGAGTTTTGACTAGTTTGAGTTAGTACTAACTTGCATACTTGTGTTCATTGTAGAGAAGGGTTGATAGAAGTACTCAGTTGCACATGTGAAGAGCCACCTAAATCCCTTGGCACCAGAGAAGGTAGCCACTAGTTATATACAGTTATTTTACTTTAAATGGATAAAATTGAACTTAAAATTCATTCCTGGGTCACACTAGCTACATTCCAAATGCTCAAAGGGCCCTATTGGCTGGCTGCTGCCATACTGGATAGGACTGACATGTCCATCACTTAAGAAGGTTCTACCTGTTGGTCAGACCAAGATGACTCTAAGAAAGGTAAAGAACTTCCAAGTTCCCTTGGACCATAGACCTTTGATACTTTAAATTCATTTCTGTTAAATCTGAGGCTATAGGGTATATGTCCATTCTCTCTGGTTCCCTTAAATACAGGGGGAAAAAAAACCTGGGATTTATAGAAAAGGGGAGGGAAGATGTACTTAAAACTACTTTTGGGAAAAAAGAAACATTTTGACATGGCCCACCTGGGACATAAAAGGTCAGAATCATACCAGAGTTTTAAAGCATTTTGGGAATGGGACATATCCTAAATCCAGAACCTCAATCTTAAGAGTATCGATTCTTTAAGAGGAAAACAGTTGCTAATGCAGTAATAGTACTTTTTTAAAATGGTCTGTCTTCTTTGTCTTGAGATGTTGATAAGTGTGTTGACTTGTTAGGTATAGGTTCGTTCTGTTGTTTTGATTTTTATTTCTTTTCACCAAATTGTTGAGACTTCATCTATTCCACCCTCCACTCCCCATTCAAAAAAGAGAATAACTGCACTTATTTTATGTATCCCTTCTTTGGACTAACTAACTTTAAAGCAGAAATAATACTCATTAAATTACAGATCTTTGATTTTTTTAAAAAACTTTGGATTCTGATATTAATCATTTTAATATTTTAAGATACTCTTAAATTATATTCTTCAACTATACTTTAAGATGCTCTTTTAAGTATCTTAGATACTTAAAAGTTTAAGATACTCTTTTTAAGATACTCTTAGAATTATATTGTTGGTTTCCATTCTTTCCCTAATGCCTTATACAGAAATAACAGTTGAATTTTTTTTTTTAAGATTTTATTTATTTGATAGACAGGGATCACAAGTAGGCGGAGAGGCAGGCAGAGAGAGAGAGAGAAGGAAGCAGGCTCCCCACTGAGCAGAGAGTCTGATGTGAGGCTCTATCCCAGGACCCTGGGATCATGACCTGAGCTGAAGGCAGAGGCTTAACGAGCCACCCAGGTGCCCCATAACAGTTGAATTTTAACAGTTTGTGCAGGGTACTGGTTTCTTCCCATACAGATGTAGTGAACAAAAAAAGTGAAACAGAACAGTTTCTCATGTTATGGCTTGAGATTAGCACTTGAGGTACTGACCACTGAGGGTCATTGGAGAGAAAGTCTCCACTGAATGCCTGTGACAAACTCTACATGTATGGCACATAGCCGGTCCCTTGATATAAGCATGTAATTTTATGTTCCCCTTAGAATATGTCTTCTGTTCCATAGCAGGAAATCTCAGTCTATGAATATGAATAGAGATTTATATGTATAATATACTGAATTAAGTCTTTGAGAACATAAGTAAATTGATAGAATCCTCTTCATGTTCAGAGCATTTGCTTTTTTTTAGGATTTTTAAAAGATTTATTCATTTGAGGGGCGCCTGAATGGCTCAGTCGTTAAGCGTCTGCCTTAGGCTCAAGTCGTGATCCCAGGGTCCTAGAATTGAGCTTCGCACTGGGATCTCTGCTTGGCCAGGAGCCTGCTTCTTCCTTTCCCACTCCTGCTGCTTGTGTTCCCTCTCTCACTATATCTCTCTCTGTCAAATAAATAAATAAAATCTTTAAAAAAATTTATTCATCTGAGGGAGAGTGAGCACAATCAGGGGGAGAGTTAGAGGCAGAGGAGAAGCAGACTCCTCGCTGAGCAGGGAGCCAGACAAGGGGCTCGATCCTAGGACCCCAGGATCATGACCTGAGCTGAAAGCAGACGCTTCACCAACTGAGCCACCCAGGAGCGCCCAGAATATTTCTTTTTACAGAACATTTTTTAAAATGTCATTCTACTGTTTTTGAAAATTGTCAAAATAATCATTAAAAAAAGATCCCTAAATGGTCTGTGAGATACATATGTGGATTTTTCTTTTCTTTTTTTCTTTTTTTTAAGTATTCTCTGCACCCCATAAGGGGCTCAGACTTAGAACTCTGAGACCAAGAGTCCCATGCTCCTTTGACCACACTAGCCAGGTTCCAACACATGGATTTTCTGATGATTTTGATTAAGTTTGTACAGAAAAATGTTGTTTTCTTAAATCTACATCTTGTGCAGTTCTAGAGAGGTGTTTGGTTTCTAGTTTTTCTTTTCTTATGGACTCATTCACTATAATGTATACACTTACAGACCAATAGGGACTTTAAAGATTATTTCATCAATTTTGTATGGCATACGATAAGTGATAATATTTACTTTAGCGGCAACATACAATTTTAAGTGTTACAGAACTTTAATATAGTCTCTGATAATAATAATCAGTTTTTACTGCTTGCTTGCGAACAAGTAATGTACATGGCTCAGTGTATTTTTTAAAATAATTACATAAGGACAGGGTAGCTGTGTTCCCGTAAAATATACTTGCTAACACTGGAGGTACATGCAGACATTGATTGGTAGTTCTTGAATCCGTCCCAGAATCAAAGAGAGTCTCATTGACCTGTCTTGGTTTAGATGACCCTCTGGCTGTGCCTGCTTTGATGGGATGAGGCCAGGTGGTTCAATGTGGAAGTTACCCAGGGAAATGGAAGTTACCCAGGGCTGACACTACCAAAAGGGTCGATGACCCTGGGTGCTGGGTCACTCAGTCGGTTAAGTGGCTGCCTTTGGCTTGGGTCATGATCCTGGGGTCCTGGGATCAAGGCCCGCATCGGGCTCCCTGCTGATTGGGGAGCCTGCTTCTCCCTCTTCTTCTGCTACTCCCCCTGCTTGTCCTCTCTCTCTGTCAAATAAATAAATAAAATCTTAAAAAAATAAATAAAATAAAAAAAAAAAAAAGTTAATGACCCATAGCTTCTTAGAAGTGGAGATTTTGTCACAAGACTACTTCCTCCCCAGCAAGTTTTATTTCTTTTTACCTTTGTTAATTTGAAGGATGAAAAACAGTAATTTATTTTAATCTGTAATTCTTTTATTGCTAGTGAGGGGAATATTTTCAGATATTTAGCCATTTGTGTTTTCTCATTTGCAAGTTGTAACCATGTTCTTTAGCAAATTCTAGTGAAAGTGCTCTTGTTTTGTTTTTAATGATTCTAGAAACAAGTAGCTTACTGGATATTCTCTTTACAAGTTTTATATTTGAGGGCGCCTGGGTGGCTCAGTGGGTTAAGTCTCTGTCTTCGGCTCAGGTCATGATCTCAGGGTCCTGGGATCGAGCCCTGCATCGGGCTTTCTGCTCAGCAGGGAGCCTGCTTACTCCTCTCTCTCTGCCTGCCCCTCTGCCTACATGTGATCTCTGTCTGTCAAATAAATAAACAAATCTTAAAAAAAAAGATGCATTAGAAGTTTTATATTTGAAAAATAATTTTTATTACAGTAAAGTAAGCATTTGCATTTCTACAACCCTTAAAACATGAACACTACCCTAGTATCAAAACTGTGTTCATGTCTGATTAGGTACACAACGACATTTTTTCTTTTTCAGCCAGATTCCTTAAATAATCTCTGGAGAGTGGTAAAAAGTAAATACTGAGTAGAGATTGTGTTTAGCTTCTGGTTGTACCCTGGTATTATTAAATTTGTCATTGTTTTACCCAGGATGTTGTGAGTTTTATCAAGACCATGTAGCAATGATACAGTGAACTCTTTTCTTTCCTTTTTACAGGGAATTGATGTTGATGCTGAAAACTGTGCAGTGTGTATTGAAAATTTTAAAGTAAAGGACGTTATCAGAATTCTGCCATGCAAGTATGTTTTTTTTTTCTTTCTTGAGATGCTACGAATTACTGGATAGGTTTCTGACAAAAGTGTTAATGTTTCTTTTATGATGTGATGCTGTCACATGATATTGTGATCATCTCATCCTTTAGGAAGCAAGCTTCAAGCCTTCTAGGGTTCTGGATTATATTACTTTAAAATTGCTTAGCAGACCTCAGGCCCTAAGGCAGACCCATTGTATATCTTTCCGCGGATTGGCTTTTAGTCTTAAGCAAGATTTCATTAGAATCCTGAGCATTCTGTCATACATCTAGCCGTTCAAAACGTACATTATGTGGGAGCAGGGAAACTGAAGCATGACAGGTGAAGGCCCCAGGGGGAGGGCCAGAAATGGCTAGCAGAAACTCAAGGAGGATAGTAGTTTGCTGTTATTTGCACCCTGGGTTTTAGTTCTTCTGGGGTTACTGCAAAATAAATATTTCTCACTTTAGGTACACTAGGGGCTTTGCTTTAGCAATGGGAAGTTGCGATTTCCTTTTTTTTTTTTTTTTTTTTTTAATAATAGGATACTTTAACTGATAACTGTTTAGAAGAAATGGCTGTTACCAGAAGTGTATATAAAAATATATTTTCAGTCAGACCAATTTGAATTATGCTTCCCACCTATTAGAAGGTCAGAAATTAATATATAATTATGGTTTCCTTTATGTTTACAAAGTAGTATATATATAAATATAGTAGATTAAATTCTCAGTAATTCTGTAGTGAAAACATATGAATATCAGAGTAACAAAAGTGTCCAGAATAAATATAGCTAACTTTTGTCTACAGGCATTTATATGAGGTTGGTGTGGTGGGTAGTTAATGAATTAGAGTCAATATATCCTTTGGAAAGTTTTTTTTTGTTTTTTTTTTTTAAGATTTTATTCAGTTATTTGGCACAGAGAGAGAGACAGTAGGAGCAGGAACACAAGCAATGGGAGTAGAAGAGGGAAAGCAGGTTTCCTACTGCTCCATTGGGAGCCCAGTGTGGGGCTCGATCCCAGCACCCTGGGATCGTGACCTGAGCCAAAGGCAGACACTTAATGACTGAGCCACCCAGGCACCCCTCCTGTGGAAAGTTATTAAAATAGGAAAGAATTTTCATCTAAGATGGTTTAGGGCAAGTCTTTCTGACTTAAAAATGATGCGTGGAATGCAGCACAAATGAGTGGCCTGAGGCTCACTTCTTTGTAACACCAGATCCGTCCTCATGGCTGAGCTGGGTTTTGTCCTACACCCTCACAAGCAGACATGTTGCTTGTGCACATTTCCTGGTCTTCTGATCTGGGGTTTTTACTTAATTTCCCCCATTTTCTCCTGTGCTTTAACAGATTTCCCAGTAAAGCCAACATGTTTCCTTTGTGTTTTTGTTAAGATTATTCCGTTGGGTTAGTCAGTTTCAGTTTCATTTTGAGGATAGAAAGGTTAGAAGACTAGCTAGGCTAGACTATGTTATGTAATTAAATAGTGTTATTTTTAACTGCACTAGCAGATTTCAGTATGAAGAAGAGGTCTTCACACAACAGCATGAATAAGGAACAGTTACTGGGTGTTTACTGTGTCCTGCACCGTTGTAAGCATGTTACATATTTGCTGCTGAGAACTGGAGTGGAGGTGCAGAGGTTAAGCAACTAGTTCAGAATTCCAGCATCATGTTACACAGCTGGTGTGGGAGCCATGGGTCCTGTACCCACTCTGCCTGATTCCTTATCTTCATCCTGTGGGAAACAGATTCACTATATAGGAGGCAAAGTTAGCTAAGACAAGTCAGTAAAAAGAAAATACATAGGCAATTTTTATTTCTTCTTCAGTTCTGAAAAGTTATCATTATATAAGAATGTGGAATATACAAAAATATGTTGAGACTGAAAATAAGTTGTTTTTTTTTTAAGCCTGAGACCCAGAGATAATCTGTTTTGCTGTATTTCCATTTGATTCATTTTGTGAACTTACGTAAGATACTCTCAGTTTATTATTATTAGTTAGCTGTTGGTTTATTTATGCCACATTTATTCCTAAACGGCTTTTAAGTAAGTTACAAAGGCACAGAAAAATACAACCTAGAATGAAGCGAAAATAACCATGCTATTTTCATGGCATGAAGGGAAAATTTCCCTGTTAAGTTCCAGACTCTGTTTAACTTGGAAAGTAGAATAGGTAATTACATAGAGTAAGTGAATAGAATGTTGATATGAAGTCATTTAACTTGTACTGAGAAGATGAGTTAGCAGAATGTGTTATTTCCTTTATAAGATATAAACATTTATTTTAAAAAATTAACACATACTTAATCTTTTTAGGCATATTTTTCATAGAATATGCATTGACCCATGGCTTTTGGATCACCGCACGTGTCCAATGTGTAAACTTGATGTCATCAAAGCCCTGGGATATTGGGTTTGTTACATTTTTGTTTATATTCAATCTCTGCCCCGATTCTTCTAAGTGATTCAATTTCATTACTGACCAGAGGCGAGAGGAGTGGACTAAGTGCTCCTTCTAACATCTTTGTGGTTCCCTGAAGAAATTTTCCTCTTGATTAAAAATGAATGTTTAAGAAATCCCAAAAAGTTAATGAACTCTACTGCTTTTGTGATTGTAGACTGATAGGCCATATGTTTCCCCCAAGTATTTGTAATTGCTAAGTGTAATGTATTGTTATGCTGCCCTGTAGAAGGTATATATACTCCTCAGTTTCGTATAAACAAGAATTATCAAATCTTTGAAATGAAAGGAGCCTCATACATTTTCTGGCTCAAGGTGCATATTTTATATACGAGGAAACTGAAGCCAACACTTCTCGACACCAGGTCTCAGATTTCTGGGTTTGGAAATCCTATCTTACTGGGGAAATTGGTCCTGTGTGGAATTTGTTCCATTGGTTTGTGGTACTTAGGTGGTCGTAGGACCTTCCTCCAAAAATGAAGACATGAGGGCAGAGCGAAAGAGAGTTCTTCATAGTAGCCAGCCAGGTGCTGAGGGCCTTACACACATTATTACATCATACCCTCATAGCCGGTCTGGGAGGTAAGTACTACTTCTCTCCCTATTTTACTAATTAGGAACTTGAGCTTAGAAAAGCCGAGTAGCTCACCGAACGTCACACAGCTAGTACTTGGGAATCTGTTTTCAGATACAAGTTTGCTTAATTCAAGGGTACAAGCTTTTAACCAGTAGTCCCACCCAAAAGGGGAAGACATAGAGGTAAAAAAAGCCAGATTTTTCTAGATTGTTATTTTTTATTGTTTTTAGAGTTTTCGTATAATCTTTTAACATTTTAAAAGATTCCTGATTAAATAGCAAATAGTTTTGAACTAATCTTATTACTTTAGAAAAAGTAATTTAAATGTCACATACTTTTCTTATTGCTAAATGTATTTTTTTAGTTTTTTTTTTTTTATAATTATGGTAGAGTTAGAAACCACAAGGAGTTTTTTCTGTGGTAAGCATTTCATGCACCTTATAGCCCCAGTAGACCTCAAGGAGTCCTCTCATCTTCTAGCTTGGCGGGTCTTGGAAAGATAGTTGAGCGACTGCCTTGATTACCACTGTCATTTTCCATGAATCAGATTTTTTTGTTCTTTTTTTTTGTAAGATGTATTTATTTTAGAGAGAGTGCGCACATGCATGCATGAGTGGGGGAGAGGGACAGAGAGAGAGAACCTTCAAGCAGACTCCCCACTGAGCACAGAGCCCAACACAGGGCTCAATCTCATGACCCATGAGATCATGACCTAAGCCGAAACCCAAGAGTCTAAAGGGTGCTCAACCGACTGAGCCACCTAGGCTAGGCGTCCCTGTGAATTACATTTCTCAAGTATGAGTTCCAGAATGCCTCCACCATAGGTACAGGAAAGGAGGAAGGTCAGCGTTCAAGAACTCTTACTGAAAAAAAACTGTCCTGCTTTGATGTCTAGAAAATTTGTCTTTCCTCTAGAATTTCAAACATTTATTTGTAGTTTTTAAAATAATGATGGCTCTGTTTAGCAGGGGCATAACAGTGAATTTGAGACTTAGTGAACTGAGCCTGTGTCTTGGACCCCCTTCCTGGAATTTGAAGCATTTTAAACAGTACAATACAGGGAGCTCAACAGACGTTTTTCTTGGCAAAGTTTTCCTTTTTCCTCTTCTCCTTTCTCTTTTCTTTCATTAGGTGCACTCTGAAGATCATTTTAAGTTATTTTCTTTATGGTCAGTAGTTTTAAACCTGCTTTTCATTTCTAGAAATTTTTGTAAGGGTATTTCACTAAACCTTAGCACTGAGACTAATCCTCACAAGTTTTGTTTTTGGAACTACATATACATACAAATATTTCACACATTAAAAATGAAGATTTATTTTGCATCAGGTTGGGTTGATTTGTTATTAGAATATTAATTTCAGAAAGCTTGACTATGTCCCAGGAAGTGTGATTTCTTTTTTGAAGAACAGAAACCTGTAGTAACTTTAAATCAAACTCTAAGAAATTAACTTGTCTTGCCCTCAATTGTTTTTACAGTTTTTGATGAGTGTGCCATTTTCTTTACTCCCTTTGCCCCTCCTGCATTGGATTTTGTAGACAGTGATGACACACTGTCGTATGACAACTAGTTCTTGCTCCCAAGGAAACAGCTGTGGTGAGAGGGCTGCCATCAGTCCTTCACGTGGACTTGAGAGGTGGTCCTTGTATTAGCAGCTACAACCTTCTTGATGTGCCATTTGTCGTTGTTTTCATTCATTCAGCACATTCATTCAGCATGTATCAAAGGAGTGCTCTCTCAGGTGCTAGATTGGACCTTGACTTGGGGAGACAAAGATGAGTAAGACGCAGCCCTTCTGGTTGTGGACTTTCACTTTCTGGACTGTGAGGGCCAGGGCATACACCCACGCACAACGCTGCAAAGGAGGTATGTTTGAAGTGCCGAGGAGCACGGAGAAAGGAGGAAATTACCCCACCAGGTAGAGTGGGAAGATAAGAGGGTGGTTTTTTTAAGAGGGGAGTCTGAGCTGGGTGTTAAAGGATTTGCCTGCCAGATCAGTATATTGCAGATGAGGGTGTGACCATGTCTGGCTTTGAGACTGGCAGGTGGTTAAGTTTGGCGGGTATTTTGGTAACTATCTGGGAAAACAGATGAGGGTGGGCTGGGTGGGAGTTTGGACATTACGGCTACTCAGTAGGATTTGTGGTTTGATGTGTCTGGAGTCTGTTCTGAGGGCGTTCAGTTACTTAGCAGTGAGAAGGAGGCAGCGTACCATGTGGTTCAGGAGGAGGGCTGTTCTAGAACTGGGTGGGGCAGCAGTAGGAGGAGCCCTCTGGTGTGCCCTTGCCCTGGAAGCCTGGGGAGGGAGGTGGAACCAGCACCATGTTCTTGGCATGAACCTCGGGCTCACTGTGAACAGACAGCCACCCCTCCTTTATCAGGTTACTTCACAAGTGGTTTCCTCTCACAGCATGACTCTGACTCTGGCATTACTCAGAAAGGTATCTGGACAAACCTCTAAGACTGGGCTGTCACTTTCCTTACCCTGTTTTTTTCTTTAACACAGCAAATGGGGGATAGACACTGTCTTGAGCTGATAGAATCCACAACGGATTCTTCTAAAGTGAATCAAATGCAGTCTGAAGCCCTCTGTTGTCAGACACTGTGTTCTTCTGAAACCCTGGTGCCCACAGTAAGACAGTAGGGCAGTTTGAGGCAGTCATCCAAGATCACAGCCACAGCCAGGCTGATTCACACCCCCTGTTCAGGAAGCAAGGAAAGTGTGTCTGACAAAGGTTTAGAGTTAAAAGGTGGCATTGCTTTCATCAAGGGGAAAGCAGTTTTTCAAATGAACAGTGTTTAGGTCTTGGAAAGCTGCCTATTGAGAAGTAATTCATTTTCTGATGTTGCTAATAAAGAAGACGTTAGTGTTTTTGCCCTATATTGTGTATAAAAGTAAATACTTTGTAGGAATTATGAGTAATGATTATGAAATGATAGATAAGCTTTGACTATGTTATTCAGACAAGGTATTTTCTTTTGTTCTCTCAAGGGAGAGCTTGAAGATGTGCAGGAGACGCCTGCTCCAGAACCTACCCCTGGGAGTGTTTTGGTGGCAAATCTGAGTATCAGTTTACAAGATGACAGAAGTGAGGGGAGCAGTTTGCCCTCGTCTTCCACTAGTGATTCTGCACCACCGTGTGATGCCAGTTTCAAAGAAGATGCAGGTGAAAACACAGCCTTACTAGGTAAGTGCCTTGGAGGTTCTAAAACAAAATGATGTTAGCAGGTGGGGAAAATAATGCAGAAAAGCATAAAGGACAAATAAAAACCATAATCCCATACCTGCAAATACCATTTTAACATTTTGGTAAATACCTTTTCAGATGTTTTCTGTGTTTAAGCATGGGGAAAGTATCATATATGTGCTGTTAGGTAACCTGTTTTCCTCTTAACATGTGAAGCTCTTTATATGGTAGGTGCATGATTCTGTGTGGTGCGTAGTGTCACAGCTCCAGTTCACTAGAATTTCTTTAAACTGAACCCTTTTGGGTGGACTTCAGCACTTTGAAATCATGTGTATACCCACCACTTATCCAATTGCTTCTTGTCATTCTGAGAGATAAAATAGAGTGAATTGCCTTTATTATTATTATTATTACCGATGAGAGTACCTTTTCATAATTGTTCGTTGTTTTTATTCCTTTCGGAGTAGCCTGTTTCACGTTTACCTTGTTTTGTTCTGGAGAAACTAATTTTTTCATGTCTTTGTCAAATGTATTGAATATTTCTCCCCCAATTTTGGTATCCTTTGGTTGATATTTTTGTAGACAGAAATGTTTCATTTTTCTCTAGTCCAACATATTGTCTCATGATTCTGCCTTTGATAGCATGCTAACTTTGGAAGGCCTTCCTCATCTCAGGATTTAAGTATATTAACCCATATCTTACTAATATTTGTGGTTCTGTATTTTATTACCTTTAAATCTTTAATCCACATGGTTGAAGAGAAGATTTAACCTACCTTTCCCCAAATGTTTAATCAATTGTCCCATTATTTAATGAATTATTTTAGTGACTAATAATCTAATGAATAATTATCAATATTTTGATATTGCTAAGGCAAATCCCTTCATCTTGAGTTTAAAAAAAAATCTCTGTACTAGTCTGCATTTTTTAAAAAATATTTTATTTATTTATTTGACAGACCGCGAGAGAGGGAATACAAGTGGGGGGCAGTGGGAAAGGGAGAAGCAGGCTTTCTGCTGAGCCTGATGCTGGGCTCAGTCCCAGGACCCTGGGATTGTGACCTGAGCCAAAGGAAGATACTTAACGACTGAGCTACCCAGGCGCCCGTATTCTACATTTTCTAAAAAAAAAAAAAAGTAATCAAATTATTTGCTAAGTGAAAGAAAATCCCATTAGAATTTTTATTATAATCGAATAAATTTACATCTTACTTTAACTGGGAAGAACTGATGCTTCTAAATTTTGAATTTTGTCATTACGGGAAGAGGACACATAATTTCCAAATCAGTGATACTCAAACTGAATCACTTTTGTATTTGACATGTTTTAAGCTGTGAGGCAGAGATAGCTAGAAGTATTAGAACTGGGGTTTTAACCTGGTATCAGTGGGAAAAGACCACATTGTGAAAGAGAAGGGGAGCATTCATTTCATAACACTGGAAGGTGGAAAGGGCATTCTCCTAATTAGCTCCCTGGCCTCCTGCTGGGATTGAACCACCTCAGGGATTCCATCAAATTGAGCCCAAGTACATGCCAGTGTGATTTTTGCCATTGCCTTCAATCTCCAGAAAAGAAACTAAATTTCCTTTCTCTAGTACTTGACCACCCTTGAGATACTTAAATATTGCTGAGAACTCTTATCCTGACAGAATGTCTTTCAAAAGCAGTCTCCCATGTTTCCTGCGTTCTTGTTACCTGTTGTGTATTAGTTTATCAGCATCTCTCCTCTCAGCTAAGATGATATCATGTGAAGTAGTGCATAGAAATAAAGGTGGAAAAAGAAGCTAAGCTGTAGAACAACAGAATGTTAGATGCCTTCTGAAGAAGCTGGGCCCCCTCATACTTTAGTGTGCTCGCGCACGTGTGTGTGTATGTGAGTACGTATGTGTGCCACGCATGTGTGTGTGCATGTGCACTTGGTTTCTATTTTATTTTTTGTCTCCCCCCTTTTTTAAAATATTTACAAGTATTTGTTAACCAGTAAGTTGACAGGTAATTTTAAATGATAATGTTCTTTCTACTTTATCACCATACCAGTATAATTTGAGAAATGTTAAATTGGAGAAATCAGTTCTTTTAAGCAGACATTAGTACTTCCGGAATAAAATATGGCTTCACTTAAAGTTGAGAAAACATTTGCTGGGGTCTTAGGAGCAACCAGAAATAAAACATGGAAATTATTAATAGCAGACTACTTGCCAGAGGGTGTTTCCCTGGCGAGTGCTCCTTCTGTTGTCCAGTTGACCTTCTTGGCTCTGACTGTAGGGGAGTTCAAGTATTCTGAGTTTAAGGAGTATTCTGTTCCTGTAAGAAACCTTTGTGCTTAAATTATTTTGTGTTACTCTTCCTAGTAATAACAGTCTGTCCAGAGTTAAATACCTGTTCCTCTTCCAAGATAGATTAACCTCACTGTGCCTGTGCTTAATCATCTGTAAAATGAGCATAATAATATCCTAGTCCTCATTGGGTCACATATATAATCCAGTAAATGCTCGCTCTTTTCATGGGCAGTGGTGACACGGTCATCGTCGTTGTCACAGCTCTCTGGTTTACTTTTGAAAACATACACTAATACCACCAACTAAGACTGTCTTTTCTTTATAGCCCCATGCTGATCAGAGTAATGTTGGTTAGACTAATACTAGAAAACCTTTCATAATATATATGTGAAGAAGATGCTCGTATATTTTTCATGACTTTCTGAAATGAGTTACCATTTTTACATGTAAGTTTTGTTTAAATTTTTCTGTTGTTTCTTGAATTATAGCCTCTAAAGGGTCTGTTTATGTAATTACAGTTCAGAATATGTGAAGTGACATTGGTTTTTGTTGCTTTGTTGTAGAAGCGGGCAGGAGTGACCTGCAACGTGGAGGACCCATCTCCTCACACACATCCTGATGACCACATCATGGATAGAGCTTCAGCTCAAATTAAAGGACTTTTTTTTTTAACTTCAGCACATAGTTTGTATATTTGAAAATAATGTACATTCTTTTACCTTTCAGATTTTGATTTGATATCCAAAGGGCTATTTTATTCTTAAAGAGACGTTTTGATTAGTTTTAATATATTTATCTACTAAAATGTATCATTTATGATAAACAGTATGTTGCTTTGGACTATTACAGAGACCACTAGGAAGGCACTCTAAAGGTCGGGGTATGTTTCTGAATAGTAGACTAGCTGCTACGGTACTGTAAAAACAGGATTAATTTTGCTTCTCAAGGATGATTTTAGACTGAGCAACTGAATTTAGACCAGTGGAGATGCAATTGTATAATTCAGTGATTGATCATGAGTTTTCCCTGGAGGAAAGACTTTTCTAGAATATTAAACCTGTGAATGAGATGAGAGAAATCTATAGCTTTCTTGAACCTCCATGTCATCATCCAGAGACTTTGAAATCTAAGAAGACTTCGTCATTATCTTGGAATTATAGGAAAAGCACTAGATGACTTAAGGATTTGCCGTTTTCCTTTTTAATTCCTAATTTCTTATGACACTTAGAGGGAAATTTGTCCTTTTCCACAAATAAAAAAAGCTAAGATTCTGTCTGCATCACACTTGAGCAATAAATTTTTCATTGCCTTAAAATTTAAAAAAAAAATTTTTTTCATTGCCTTAAGGAAATCGAGTAGGCAGACTTTTTTTTTTTTTAGTATATGATGACTGTATTAGTCCCAACTACTATTTAATCTTTACAACTAAAAAGGTAATAGATGGAGAATTTTGATTGTCACTACAAAATAAGCAACCAGTTTTCTTGATTGATTTAAAGCAGACTTAATCATGACCTTGTGTCATCTATCCTTTTTAAAATCTTGGCTGTTCTTGTAGGTGAAAGGGTCAGGTTAATGTAAAGCTTTTGGAGATTGTGCTCTTAAGTTTTCTAAAATGATTAAGCACACACATAGTCTTCTCCCTCTTGGAGGTGGAAGTGGAGGAGGGTGAGGGAGAGTTACCTTTTAACTGTTGTTCTTTGTTCCTTCTAAGCTAGTTGCTGTGTATATCTTTATTTTGTGAGTAAAAAATAAATGTTGAGAAAAATACAACTTCTAAAAATCTAAAGAATTTATTCTTAAAGCTGCATCTAAGTTGTATATAGCTTATTTTTTTAAAACAGTTTGTTGCACCTGGATTCTAGCCATAGTGAAACACTTGGTGAGTTTTACTTTTTCTTTTTTTTCCACTACTACTGAAGTACACTCTGGCCAGGTTCAATTTGAGGAGCTGCTGAAATAGAAAATTTGTCTTTGAGCTCCATTTTAACAGCCTCAAAGTAGGTTTCCATAATAGCCATTATCTTTGAAATCTGCCTTCTGTGGTTTTTTGAGAATAGGAAAGTATGTCCTTGATTCTGTACCAAGTAGATTTTTTGCTCTTTGTATTTTAAGATACATACTTGGGAGAAATGCTTTAATTAATAATTCTCTATAGTATCCAATAAAGCAGACTTCTAAAAAGAATACTATGACAGATCAAGGTATATTGTTTTTGATAATTACACAAGTGTGATTTCTTTATTAGCAGCTATCAGACATAGCTTTCCTTAATTAAAGAGTTTGAACACTAAACTACAAATAGAAGAGATTGGAAGAATTGTAGTGGTCTGGTCTCATCTCTAGAAATATGTCTTCAGTAGCAGAGAAAGGAATTATCAAGAGAAAATAGAAAACTGCAATACTTTGAAAGTTCCGCTAGGCTTTTTTTTTTTTTAAAGATAGAAATAAATGATAGAGAAGGGTCTCCCATCCAAGTACTAACCAGGCCTGACCCAGTTTAGCTTCTGAGATAAAATATTAGCAGAATTTTTGCTGAGACATAAAATTGATGAAATGCCACTCAGAATAATGGGGAATGTAAGGAAGGAAGAGTAAACCAGAGAGGTTTGGTTAAGGTTAGTCATACTATTTATGGCAATAATTTTCCTTTTAACAGTTGTCATAAAAGCCTTTTTTTTTTTTTAACAAATAGTGTAGAAACAATATGTATTTTTTTTAACTTTCAAAGTCACAGGCAGTGTGTGAAGGAAGCAGCTTGGTTGTGAACTTGAAGCACTCCGTCATCTGCCTGCTGGCGCTGCTTCTGGGTTTCCCTCCAGAAAACCACAAAGGCCAGGAGTGGTGCAAAAAAAAGAGCACCTTCAGCAGGTAAACCTCCTTGCTTGGTGACTTTTTGGGGATCTTCAATATATAAAACCTTCCCTGAGAAATTGTTCCCTGCAGTCACTGAGGAGTGATGACAGTAAAAGGCCGAATTGCAGTGTGCCCATCAGCAGTTTGCTCTCTGTGGGGTGCACAATGACAAAATCTCCGGAAGCGAACCACTGGTCTGACCTCAGTAACATCAGGACTGAAGTTTTGCACTTGGGCAGGCTTTCCAAGAGGGGTCTTCTCCCTCCTCCCCCAAAAATCTCAGGTATTTTTAAGAAAAAATAATCAGTGAATCTAAGCCATCAGCCCTTAAATGAGTAGTAGATACCTTTCTTCATACTTTACAATATACTTGCTAAATCAGGAACTGCTAGAACCATAAAGAACAGGTGTGTTCCCACTTGGATGAAATGCCTAGTATAACCAAACTCCCTAAGAGGATAGCTTAATTGGCCAAGTCTCTTCTTTTGAGAACATTAAAGTTTATTTGCTCAGTGAAGGCTGAGATTAAATCAGTATGTGTATGTTACTGACTAGAACTTGAGATAATTACATGTTTGGTCAAAAGGAGTTTCTTTGAGCCCAGCACAAACCATATTTTGTGATTTACAAAGCACAGGATGCTGGCCTGAACCAAAGTGAGTCTTGTGTATGACATACGCTATGCTTCTGTGATGCAACAACCAATTAGAAAAGCCACCTACGCCTTTCCCAGTTAATTTCATTTTTGAAGTTTTAAAAAGACAAGCATTTCACTTTAAAAAATGCTAACATGTAATTGTTATGAAAGTGAAGTTTCAACAATGTCATTATCAGCCATGCAGCTAAAGATTTGCTCTTACTCTAAGAGCAAAGTATAAAATAAGTTATAAATTGAAAAAGATATGTGCATCCCATTAATTTAAGAATAAAAAAGTCAATCCCTTCTTCTTGATGAGGTGTAAGCTTGTATATTATGGGCTAATGAGAAAGCTGGGAACACCAGTACTTCCTGTGGGCTCGACTGCACAGGTATTGGATCCCAGGATTCTAAGTGCTTTTGGAAGCATCTTAGGGATTTTCTGCTAAGAACAGTAGTGATTGCATTAAAAAAAAAAAAAAAAAAAAGATTAAAGTGAAACCAGCAAAATGTCTTAGTAGGTAGAGGGTGCAAGAATTTTAAAGAATATGTAAAAAGTTCTTCCCATGCATTAATTTTCCAGATATCTTTAAAATGGTAAAGTGCTATTACTCAAAGTATTTAAAATAGGTACATGAGGGGCACCTGGGTGGCTCAGTTGGTTAAGCGTCCAAGTCTTGATCTCAGCTCAGGTCTCAGTCTCACAGCTATGAGTTCAAGCTCCACACCTGTTGTGGAGACTACTTTTAAAAAATTGTTTAAATTTTTAAAATTTAAATACAGGATCCATTGTTTTTCATGGGAATGAATCATTACAGAATGTACTAAAGTGGTACATGCTGCTTAAAAGTTTGTGGAAATGGGGGTGCCTGTATGGCTCAGTCGGTTGAGCATCTTACTCTTGATTTCAGGATTGTGAAATCTAGCCCCATGTCTGGCTCCCTATCAGTGGGGAGTCTGCTTAAGACTTTCTGCCCCTCCCCTGCTCTCTCTCAAAATAAATCTTTAAGGGAAAAAAAAGATTGTGGAAGTGTATACTCTGTAAGAAAGGTGATAACCATTTCTTTAAAGTTGTTTAAATGTATAAACACTTAAGAGAATTATTTGAAATAGTTATAGTTAGGATCCCTAAATTACTTTATTTTTTGAAGTATCTTTTATTTCTACTCTAAGATGTAACTTAGTGCTGTCTTAACAGGTGATCTGAAGATTTTACAGCTAGAAACTGGAGCTAGAAAATCCGGAGAATTCAGGCTGTGTTGTTTTAAACATGGCAGTATCTTGAGCTACATTTAAAAGCTGATTACAGTTAACTGAATTCCAGGATTGTAATTTATTTCAGGTAAACTTTCTTCTACCTTTAAACATGTTTAAGAACCTTTTGCTGGTGTTGTAAATGTAAACCTGACTTTTCTTTTTAAAATGTTCCCCTAGGGGCACCTGGGTGGCTCAGTGGGTTAAGCGCCTGCCTTCGGCTCAGGTCATGATCTCAGGGTCCTGGGATCGAGCCCCACATCCAGCTCTCTGCTCAGCAGGGAGCCTGCTTCTCCCCTGTCTCTGCCTGCCTCTCCCTACTTGTGGTCTGTCAAATAAATAAATAAAATCTTTTAAAAAAATAAAATGTTCCCCTAAATATTACTAGCTATTCTTTGTAGGCCAGAGTTAAAAATCTTTTCTCTTTCAACACCAATAGTCCGATCTTGAAATGATTAGCAGTAGTCCATCTCTTTATTTGCAGAGTCCATGTTTGTAAATTTGCCTACTGAAACTTATCTGTAACCCCAAAATCAGGATGTGTATGACATACGCTATGCTTCTGTGATGTTTGGTGCTTTGGCAGTTGTGGTGGACACATACCCATACAATGTGGTGAAAATTTTGAGGCACCAAACACACTTTTCCAGTTGAGGTTGAACAAGAGGACGCTTTGCCTTCTTGTTTCACCTCTCAAACTGTCAATACTGTGTCCTCTTCCACAGTCTGTTTAGTACATGTTTTCTAAAATTTTGTACCTTGGTGATTTCAGTTTAAAATGGCACCCAAGTATAGTGTTATCTACTGTTCTGGGCACATAGAGGCTGTGAAGTGCCTTATAGAGAGAATACATGTTAGATAACTTTGTTCAGGCATGAGTTACAGTGCTGTTAGCCACGCATTCAGTGTTACCAGAGAATCAGTAGGTTCTGGAGCTTGAGTTTGGGTTGCTTCTGCAGTGGTCCAAACTTTGCCATTCCAAAAAGTTATCTGCATAATGAACGGTTTAAAACAGTGTTGTCCACTTTTAGGTATGGACAGAAATCAAGGTTGCTAAAATTTTTGTATGTTTAAAGGCATTCTTCTTGTTATATTGGTTTGGGTTCTTCTTTCCTTTAAGTATATTTACAAATACCTTTCATAAGAATAGCTAACATAAAATTTCTTATAAATCTAGTGGGAGTATGCACTTTTGCCAATAATAAAAGACTGAAACTTATTTTTACTCATTTTAAAGGACACCATACCTAGTGGTTTTAACTTTTGCTGAGGGTTAAACTGGAAGGTAATTCTTATTGAATAGATGATTTCCCTATAAAGAATATAGAGAGGCACCTCAGTAAATTCGGAATTTTTCACGGTTTCTTCAAGTAAAAAACACACATCAGATGATACAGTTCATAAAAAACTTTAATGTAAGGCACTGTTGTCCAAAGTTAAGTGAGGAGTAACAGCCCACACGATGCCACCTTGTTCTACGTTGCAAACAGGCCATCTGCCCTACCACAGGCAGCAGGTACAGTTCCCACTCAGGGAGGTTTTACCTGAGTAAAACCTCAGTGGCGATATCTCCCAAAGCATGGACTAATACTTTTCCTTAAAACAAAAAAATAACTATCTTAGACTTATAACTGAAGAACTAACAAACATCTCAAGAAGAAAAAAACAAAACTTAGACCAGCTATTGTAGTCTCAAAAAAAGGTTTCTAAGAGTTCCCATGTTTATAAGAGGCCCAAGAAATGCATGTATTTTTGTCTGTTAAGTGACAGAAAGGATCAAGTTAGAAGCATGTCCTTACTTCAAACTGTCCTTCATGAGAAATTAAGGGCTATACACACAAATGGGTTTCAGGACCAAACTTCTATTTGCCACTTGATTCAAAAACATTCAACTGATTTCATCTCAAGGGCAGTATGACAAATTCTTAAGAAAACTAGATTCTCAATTTATCAGTAGCCTGTAACTTGTATTTGAAACAAAAACAGGCACTTTGCTCTACAGTGCTAAAACCTCATCTACTTGTTTGCAAGTATCTACTTCTTGTAGATAACCGTTACTCCTGATAATCAGCAAGACATCTAAGAGACACATTTTTCCAAGTTCTTACGAAAAAGTCATCTAGGAAAGGAAACTTTTGCTTTAAGTAGATAAAGTGGTGTTTATATGCATTAGGCCAAACGATCCATTCAAGGTTCTAACAGTTTTAAAAATTAAGTCACAATACAGCTGAACAATGAACGTGGTTCTGATGAGGTATTATTTTGACATTTTGGTCTCAGAAGGTGTTTCTCCAGTATCCAGTGTCTTCAACAAACGAAAAAGGCCAGCAGCTTCTCGTATCCTACTGAATTCAATACAGAATGCCTGCACTTCTATAAACAAGTCCTGCACATTAATAATTTTGTTACGGATCAAGGACTGGAGAAAGACACACACAAGACGCACCAAACGATTCTGGGGGGAAAAAAAAAATTAGTGTACCCGTTTTCTTGGCAGGTATGTATAAAATTTACCAAAATTTCTGTTACTTACCTGCATATATTTATCCTTAATTTGTTCACAAGTAGAGATGCAATTTGATATATAAAGGTGAATAAATTCCGGAGGTAGATCAACAGCTGTAGTTAGTCTGTTTCATAAAGTTAAAAAGTTAGGGCTATTAAATACTGTTAACCAGAGAGAAATTTTAGATTTTATGGTTATTTAGTGAAAATTTCTGATTTATGATCAGTTACCTAGTTTTAAACATATTTATGCAAATAAGCCTGAGCCTGTCACCCTGGTTGTTAATAAAGGACATTTCCATTTTTTAAGTGTATACTTAGCATTATACATGGTAATTACTCATTTTTTTTGCACACCACATTTCTGTGTGATTTTGGTTGAATCAGAGTTCACACTCTCATAAGTAACATTTACTAAACCCCAATTATACCTAAGAGCTATGGAAGGTGGCATATCTGAGAAGAAGGTATAGTTTGGTAAGTTGATAGTATACTATATAACTTAAATGCTTAAAAAAAAGGGGGGTTGTAAGAAGCAGTGTAAATGAAAAGATGGGAAAAGCCTTGAGAGGTCAAGTGGCTTAAACTGAAACCTGTAAGTGTTCCTAATAACCTAATGAATGATCAGATGAAAAGCTTGGAATCTGGGATTAATGTGGTGTATTTAGGAACACAGTGGTAGAGAGCAGGATAGAATGTGACAGAAGGCATAGTAGCATATTGGGAGTCTTAAAAAGGAAAGCTGGTATTTTCCAAAGGATTCTGTGGAATGTTTAAGGAAAACAAAAAGATGGGATGGGAATTCCATTTTTAGATAAAGAGATGCTATGCTAACTATACACTGTGCATTTCCAAAAGAAATGTGAAATTTGACTGTAAAACCTTCCATAAGGCACTGAGGAACCATGGCTCTGAGGAATAGTGCTATGATCTCTTGAGAGGAGGAAAGATGGGGGTGGGGGGCACAAGGAACAGACTTTGTCCTTGAAATTATTCTCTAGAAAGAATAATAAACTGACAAAAAGATGTGGTTATTCTTGGACTAAATACCAAGTATCTGGTGAAGACAATAATGCTGTAAGAATGTAGTGAAGGGGGAGCAGTGGTAGGTCAGAGGTAGGTCAATCCAAGGACTGGAGTCAAAGGAAGCCCCTGAAGGAAGTATGAGTCTACAGAGGGGAAAGGCTTGTGCAGGAGAATGCAGAAATGAGGTAGTATATTTTCAACAAGCAGCTAATGAGTTTTGCCAGTGACAGAAAAAAAAAGTTGAAAACCTCATGCTTCCTCCCCCTCCCACTCTAGAAAGAACACTCTTACACATGTTACTTGTGATCACCTGGCTTTCAGCCAGGCTTTTTCTCAACGGCTGATTAGCTTAAAAGCACAGAGTCTTTAGTACAATTTCAAGAAGGTTAAAAAAAAAAAACAAAAAAAAACTTAAAATTTGTTGCAAGCCCCCTCCCCTACCCGACTGAGTATAAAAACTTACCGATTTACAACTTCCATTGAATGCAAAGACATGTCCATGTTGACCAGGACGGAAAAATACTCCGTGATCTGGCTTGACTGCATTAACTTCAGCAGCATTTCTATAGCAACCAGAGGGTTGTTTTCCACCAGGTCAGGAAGTTTGGCTGGAGTGAGGCCAATATGATAAACGAGTTTGGGGTCTTTTTCCAGCTCACCCAAGAGCTAAATACAACCAAATTTTTAAAAAGAGGTTATTGAGTCAAATACTCTCTTTCCTGCTTATAAAAACAAGCTATAAAATTGTCTGCATTGAACCAACTTCATAAATTTCTTCCCTCAAGCCATTAAAATCGTGTCTTGATTTTCAAATTTATAACTGAACTGTAAAGACTGTTTATAAACATGCTAGTGAGCCCTCCTGGGCGTTAAACCAGCCTCAGTACTGCCTGATTGGATAGAATACTGTCTGGATTATAACAATATCACCCTTAATACCTCTGTAGACTTTTTCTGTCATCTGTTAGAACCTAAAGTAATTTAATTGCCAACCGGCTCTCCAGAAAAGCACACACCACAGAGAGCTGAGGGACATGAGAAACAAGAGCACAAATCCTTAAGGAGAGAAGCAGGACAGGAAGACGGAGAGCTGCCCTCTGTACAGTTATCAGTGCACAGTTCAGGTCCTGCTCACACTCTGTAACCTAAAGAGGTATATTCAAAAACATTTCTGCCAAATAAGTGCTTTTTCTTACAAATTGTCCACACTGTTTCCCCTGCCTACCTGCAAATACCATAGCGGACTGTGTTTCAGAACGGCCTAGCAAACAAGAACTGTAAACACAGCTATTATTTGACTTTGAGAAATACCATTTTTTTTGGTGTAAACGGGATTAGAAGTGTCAGTATATCCTCACAAGTTCTAATGTGAAAGTATGCAAGCTGGATAATAAAATTCACCAAACAAAGCACACACCAGGTGTCCTTGCCTTCCCCCCAAGGGGAGTCTTACACTTGGGCAGCAGGAGCTACTCTCAATCTCAGATCCACTACTACTAACCAGATGTGTGATGGAGGCTAGTTTACCTTCCCTGGATCTCATTTTCTTTCTCCTTAATGGAATGTTAATAATCTCAGGTACCCTCAGTAGAGTTATTGTCCAGCTTAAATGTGACAATGTATACAGTGTGCCAAAAATGTGAAATCTGTCTTTCCCCTCCAGAGTAAAATGACCAAAGCTGGAAAAGCAGAACAAAGATCCAGAGAGCCAAGACTCCTTGGATCCAAAACACTTCCTACTGCTGGCTCCTGTTGACAGGATCATTTATTGTTTATCATGTGGAAGATTAAAGACAAAATGCTTACAATAAATATATACCTGTGTTTGTTGAGGAGAAGATAAGGGGCTTTTGAAGGCTTTGGCCATTATTCGCTTGATCTCCACACCAGTGCTGTTCTTGACACACATTGATTTGTCCCACTGAATTGCATGGTCAGGCTCTGTTGGATTCAGCCAAGCCAGCTCATCCTCGCAAATGTGGAGTGGAGGTGGTGGACGAATAAACTCTGGGCGGAAATGGCCTGTAATAAGAATAGGAATGTTTGCTTCTATCATCAGTAAGCTAACACTTACACACATCTACATAAAACTCTCAGACTTCAAAATCCAAAGCAGAGAGGATACAGAAAGTCAGGGTTTTATTCAGAATACCAACAGAATAAAACACTGACCTAACGTTACCATGCTAGAGACCAAATCTATTTTTCAAGAGACAAAGAAAATACACCATGATCTGATTATCTTTAATTCAAGCATGATCACCACTCAGAAGCAAAGGATACAACTTCACATACTGGTAAAAGTTCTGATGGGAAAAATTAAATGCTATTTGATCTTATTCATCCTACTCTTAGTTACCACAATTTTACTCAGAGACCATTATTATTTATACTGATTATTTTCTTTGCATCTTACAACCTTGAGGTGGCAAAATGGAGATGAAATATCAGGAAACAGAAAAGCATAGCTGCCTTTTAACATTTTCAAATGAATCTGGAGACTTTCATAAATCCCTAAATCCATAAATCCCATATTCATTTTCATAAGAGACAATAAAAGTATAATCAGAAAATGCAGTGACTCAATACCTCAACTATTTTTGATACAAGATTGATCTCTTAAGTTATAAACCCACTAAAATAAATGCTGGCTGGGATTTTCACTGAATAAATTTCACAGGGCCTAAAATGGCCTATTCTGATCATGGATCCTAGCCCCTGCCAAATGTGAGATTAGTTTATTGATAAGGTTTTCTGGCTAAGAATCATCGGTCATTCTTCACTCTCATCACTAGGACTAGCATCTCAATCTTTTCAGACCATTTACAGGAAAAAACAAAATTATTAACACTTCCTCAGAAGTACTACTTATATGATAAGGAAAACATTCCCACAAGGTAACTGATTTGCTTTTCACATATATTTCTGGTGGCTCATGCAACACAAAGTTGTGCTTAAGCAAGTATTAAGAAAAAATCAGTATGTGCCATTGGCTGAGACTACAGATACTAAGCCCATTTATGACAAAGATCTGATAATGACATTAAAGTCACGTGAGTTTTAAACTCCTGGTAACACTGTAATTTGGAGAACATTTTCTTATTTTTAAGCATAAAGCATGCCTTCATCATTAAAACATAAAACATAAAAGCCTATGAAACCAAAAGATATAGTTGTATTATTTCAAGTTCAGTAGATGTTTTCTTTGAATTAAAGTAAAATAAGAACTATATGATCAGTAAAATTTTATAAGGGAGAAGGTAATGAGAGTGATAAGATTAATAAAGCACTATAAAAATATACAGAAGACTCATTTTAGTAAAATTGGAATTTATATCTTCAGGAATGCTACTGATAATAGAAAACTTGGTGTGTAATTTTATTTAAGAAACTAACTTAACTGACCACCTCTACTATGTTCTAGTAGACACTAGGAGATTATTTACTGAATTCAAGTTTAAGGAGCAACAAAAAAATAACACCATGTTTTAAAAAAAACAAGCCTCAGGATGCTGGTAAAATAAAACCCAAGTATATAAAATTATATATACCTACTTTCAATAGGTGGCTTTGGTCCACTGACTAAAGCTTCTGTGATCTGAGAGGCAACCGAGCTGTCAAATCCAGAATTAGAAGAGTCTGGGTCTGGGTCACTGAGAATACTAGGGAAGCTAGCTTTACTTTGGGTTGGCAATTCAGACTGGCGTTCTGTAAAAAGATAAAGAGACATTTTTAAATTGAGGGTATCACAAGGAGAGAGAAAGACAAGCTACTAATTGGAAAAAGCTGCCTGCAACACATACAAACAAAGGGCAATTCAGTATGAAAAAAAAAAATACATATATATATATATATATATATATATATATATATATCCCCCCCAAAACGACAAATCCAACAAGAGCTAACATCACCCACCAACAAGCCAGCAGCAGCTATATGCAGTCAGGCCTCTCAGCCAGTTGTGCTGGGGGCCAGTCCCATCCATCAGAGCACCCTTCACCATTACAGACCAGTTGCAACAGGAAGGTACATACAGCCCACACAGGGGATACCCCTGCAGTGCCTGGTACTGGAGACCAGGGAGGGCTGAGGTACTGGGCTCTTCAGGGCCTTTTCTAAATAAGGCCACTACTTTCAAGTCCAGGAGATGGAACTGACACACCTAATGTATAGAAACAAACACAGAGAGTCAGACAAAATGAGGAGACAGAGGAAGCTCTGAACAACAACAACAACAACAAAACCCACAAAACCTCAGAAAAAGAACTAAAGGAAACAAGAGGTAAGAAATCCACCTGATGAAGAGTTCGGGTGACGGTCATAAAGGTCCTCACTAGGCTTGAGAAAAAAGTAAATGAATTAAGAATGAAGTTGAAGAATACAGTAATTGAAATGAAAACTACACTAGAGGATCAAAAGCAGATTAGCAGATGATGAAAGGATCAATGATCTGGAAGACAGGGTAATGGAAAGCACTCAAGCTGAATGGCAAAAAGAAAAAAAAAGTTAAATGAGGCTAAGTTAAACTTCTGTGACAAAATCAAGCATAATATTTGCATTATAGGGAGTCCCAAAAGAAGAAAGGGGCAGAAAACTTATTTGAAGAAAGAATCACTGAAAACTTCCCTAACCAAGGGAAGGAAACAGCCAGGTCCAGGAAGCAGAGAGCCTTAAACAAGATGAACCTGAGAAGCTCCACACCAAGATACATAATGAAAACATCAAAAATTAAAGAGGATCTTACAAGCAAGGGAAAAGCACAGTTAATGGGAAACCCCATAAGGCTATCATATAGCCTTACGGAAAGAACATAAAGATGTTCTTTGAGCAGGAACTGCAGGCCAGAAGGGCTAGTGGCATGATATATTCAAAGGGCCGAGAAAAAACACAAACAATAGTACTTGCCCCAGAGCAAGGTTATCACTCAGAACTGAAGGACAGATAGAGTTTGCCAGACATCAAGGTTATCACTCAGAACTGAAGGACAGAGTTTGCCAGACAGACAAAAGTTTAATGAGTTTGCCACCACTAAACTAGCCTTACAAGAAATATTAAAGGGACTTCTATAAGAAAGAAAAAACCATAATTAGAAGAAAAACTATGAAAAGAAAAAAATTTGCTGGTAAAAACAAACACATACTAAAGGTAGTAGATCACTTATAAAGCTAGTATGAAGGTTAAAAGACAAAAGCAGTAAAATCAATTATATCTATAATAAAGGGCACAAAATAAGGTAGAAAATAGGATAATATGTACATAAAATGTGGGGTGGGAGAGTAAAAATAAGGTGCTTTCAGAATGTGTTCAAACTTACCCAACCAGCAACTTAATTTAGACTAGTGTATACAAAGAATATTATATATGAACCTCAGTAACCAACAACCAAAAGCCTATAACAGATTCACAAAAAATAGAAGTGAACCCAAGCATAACACTAAATAAAGTCATCAAATCATAAGGGAAGAGATCAAGAGAACAGAAAACTACAAAAACAAACAGGAAACTAACAAAATGACAAAAAGTACCTATCAATGAATACTTTAAATGAACTAAGTGCACATTTACTTTTAAATCAAATGACACAGGGTGACTGAATGGATAAAAAGACAGAGTTACTTACATGCTTCCTACAAGAGACAAAAACATCAGCCCCAAAGACAGACTGAAAGTAAAGGTATGGGAAAAGATATTCCCTGCAAATGGATGGGGGGAAAAAAAAAAGTTGGGTGGCAATATTTATATTGGACAAACTAAACTTTAAAACAAAGACTCTAGGTGTATCTGGTTGGCCCAGTTGGTAAAGCATGGGACTCTTGATCTCAGGGTCGTGAGTTAAAGCCCCACATTGGGCATGGAGCCTACTTACAAACACATAAAAAAGGGCACCTGGGTGGCTCAGTTGGTTAAGCATCTGACTTTGGCTCAGGTGATGATCTCAGGGCTCAGGTCATAATCTCAGGGTCCTGGGATTCAGACTGCACTCAGTAGGGAGTCTGCTTCTCCCTCTCTCCCTTTGATCCTCCCTCTGCTAGTGCACATGCTCTCTCTCAAAACAAAACAAAAACCTTAAGTAAGTGTATGGACTAACGAAAGATAAAGAAGGCCACTATAAAATCATAAGAGGGACAATCCAACAAGATCTAACCATTGTGAACATTTACACACCCAACAGAGAAGCACCCAAATACATAAAACAAGTATTAACAGACATAAAGGGAGAAATTGATAGTAAGATTACATATTAGCCCAGAAAACAAGTTCAAAAAGACTTGAAGTCATACCATGCATCTTTTCGGATGACAATACTATGATACTAGAAGAAAAAACAGAAAGACAAACATATGGAGATTAAGTAACAAACTACTAAACAATGAATGGGTCAACCAGGAAATAAGAAGAAATAAAAAAGTACATGGAAACAAATGAAAATGAAAACACAACAGTTCAAAACCTTTGGGATGCAGCAAAAGTGGTTCCAAGTTTAGCAATACAGACCTACCTCAAGCAAAAAAAATCTCAAACAACATAGCCCTATACCCAAATGAACTAGAGAAAGACCAAAACCTAAAACCAGCAGAAGAAAGGAAATAATAAAGATTAGAACAGAAATATCAGGTGGAATTTATTCCTGGATTGAAAGTTTCCAGGAATCATCAAATCCACAAATCATCCAACATGGTAATACCACATTAACAAAATAAAGGATAAAATGGATATAGTCATCTCAATAGATGCAGAAAAAACATATGACAAAATTCAACATCTGTTTATGATAAAAACTCTTAACAATGTGGGTATATGGGGAACATACCCCAGCATAATAAAGGCCACATATGACAAATCCATAACTAACATCACAATGGTGAAAAGCTGAAAGCTTTCCGGCTAAGGTCACCATTTTTATTCAGCACAGTCCTGTCCTAGCCAGAGCAGTCAGACAAAAAATAAATAGAAAGACTGGTAAGGAAGAAGTAAAACTTTTACTATTTGCTGATGACATGATACTATATAGAGAAAACCTGAAGAACCACCAAGAAACTGCTAGAACTGATAAAGTAATTCACTAAAGTTCCAGAAAACAAAATCAATGTGCAGAAGTCTGCTGCATTTCTATACACTAATAACAAAGCAGTGGAAAGAGAAATCAAGAAAACCATTCCATTTACAACTGCACTAAAAACAGGAAGATACCCAGAAATAATTTTAACTGAAAAGTTGAAAGATCTGTACTATGTAAACTCTGAAACTCTGAGGAAAGAAATTGAAGACGACACAAAGAAATGGAAATACATTCCTTGCTCAAGGATTGGAAGGACAAATATTGTTAAAATGTCCATACTACCCAAAGCAATCTACAGATTCAGTGCAATCCCTACCAAAATGCTGATAGCATTTTTCACAGAACTAGTACAGATAATCCTAAAATTAGTATGGAACCACAAAAGGCCCCTGAATAGCCAAAGCAATCTTTTTAAAGAACAAAGCTGGAAGTATCACAATCTTGGATTTCAAACTACTACAAAGCTATCATAATCAAAATAGTATAGTATCAGGACAAAACAGAATGCCCAGAAATAAGCCCATGCTTAAATGACCAATTAATCTACCATAAAGGAGGTAAGAACATACAATTGGAGGAAAAGATAGTTTCTTCAGTAACTGGTGCTGGGAAAACTAAATAGCTACATGCAAAAGAATGAAACTAGACCACTTTCTTATACCATACACAAAAATAAACTCAAAATGGATAAAAACCCTACATATTGACTTGATACCATAAACCTTTTTTTTTAAAGATCTTTTTATTAGAGAGAGAGCGAGTGAGCACATGCACAGAGGGAGAGGGAGAAGCAGACTCCCTGATGAGCAGGGGGCCTGAGGTGGGTCTTGATCCCAGGACCTGGAGATCATGACCTGAGCCAAATGCAGATGCTTAACAAACTGAGTCACTCAGGCACCCCAAAACCGTACAACTTCTAAAATAAAACATAGGCAGTAAACTCTTGGATTGGCCTTAGCAACTTATTTATGGATAAGTCTCCCCAGGCAAGGGAAACAAAAGCAAAAATAAACAACTGGTGCTACATCAAAATAAAAGCTTTTGTATGGCAAAGAAAACCATAAAATGAAAACCTACTGAATGAGAGAAGCTAGTTGCAAGTGATTTATATGATAAGGGGTTATTATCCAAAATAAATAAAGAACTCCTACAACACACACACAAAAATTAGACTTAAAAACAGGCAGAGGACCAAAATAGACATTTCTCCAAAGAAGATACACAGATGACCAACAGACACATGACAAGATTTTCAACATCACTAATCACCAGGGAAATGCAAATCAAAACCACAGTGAGATACCACCTCACACCAGTCAGAAAAAAATACCAAGCCTTGGTGAGGATGTGAAGACAAGGAAGCCCTTAAGCATTGCTGGCAGAGAATGTAAACTGGTGCAGACTGTATGGAAAATAGTATGGAGGTTCCTCTAAACTAAAAACAGAAGTACCACAGGATCCAGTAATTCTACTTCTGGATATTTACCCAAAGAAAACAAAAACACTATTTCAAAAAGACAATAGCCAAGATACGGAAGCAACCTAAGTATCCATGGATAAATGAATAAAGATGTGGTGTGTGTGTGTGTATGCATATATATATGATATATACATATATATGTTACATATTATATATACATATATATGTATATATCTCATATATGTGTGCGCGCACACACACACAGACACAATGGAATATTGTGAAAAAGAATATAAAACAAAAGAATGAAATCTTGCCATTTGTGAAATTTTGCCATCTCTGTCAAGTAAGTAAATAAATAAAATCTTTAAAAAAAAATAGGTGAAGGGGATTAAGAGGTACAAACTTGTAGTTATAAATAAATCATGAGAATGAAAAGTACAGCATAGGTAATATAGTTAATAATACAATAACTTTGTATAGTGACAGATGGTAACTACACTTATTGTGATTGAGCACTGAATAAAGGCATAGAGTTGTCAAATCACTGTGTTGTACACCTGAAACTAATGTTGTCAACTGTCAAACTTCAATTTTTTAAAAAAACAAAAAACTACAAATCAATTTTTTTAAAAATTTATTTGACAGAGATCACAAGTAGGCAGAGAGGCAGGCAGAGAGAGAGAGGAGGAAGCAGGCTCCCCGCTGAGCAGAGAACCTGATGTGGGGCTGGATCCCAGGACTCTGGGATCGTGACCTGAGCGGAAGGCAGAGGCTTTAACCCACTGAGCCACCCAGGTGCCCCCAAATCAATTTTTTAATAAAGAAAAAATGGGCTGACTTCCAAGTATTTTATTTTAAAAAAAGGAAAAAAAGGGGGGGGGCACCTGGGTGGCTCAGTCGGTTAAGCATCTGCCTTTGCCTCGGGTCGCGATCCCAGGGTCCTGGGATCGAGTACTCTATCGGGCTTCTTGCTGGGTGGGGAGGCTGCTTCTCCCTCTGCCTGTTCTGCCTGATGCTTCCCCTGCTTCTCTCTCTCTGACAAATAAATAAAATCTTTATTAAAAAAAAAACAAAACTTGAATGGCCAATAAACATCTGAAAAGATGTTCAACCTCATTGAGAAAGGGAAGCAGGGAGAATCAGTCAAAACACAAGGTACTATTACACACCCTACATGACAAAAATTAACAAGCCCAAAATTATCAGATGCAGAGAATGTCATATAATTTGCACACTGCTCATGGGAATGAAACATGGCACAGCAACTCTGAAAAGCAGTGTGCCATTAGCTAGTCAAGTTTTACATATGCTTATCTTTCTCTCTAGAAGAAACACACATGTACACCAGGAGAATGTACCAAAATGTTCACAGCAACACTATGTCCATCAATAGTAAAATGGATGAAGAACTTGGTATTCCATTGTACGAATGTCACAACAACGAAAAGCAAGCCCTACAATTCATCAACATGGACTCACCTTACAACTAACACCCAAAAGAACACAGTATGATTCCACATATACATCAAGTTTAAGAACATCCAAAGTTAAACTACAGGCACGTACCGAGGGCAGACTATAAAGTAAATTATGAATGATTACCACAAAAGTGAGCTTATTGATGGAGGAGGTGGGGAGTAGCTAGTAAGAGAAACACACAGGGAGCCTCCAGGTCCTTAAACTTCCCCACTTCTTAACCTAGAGGATGGCTGCTCCAGGGTCATTTTGTAATTCCTTAATACATGCAGGTTTTAGAACTGCATGTTTCAGATTTTATAATTCTGAAAACATAGCTAGACTCGATTCCTTAAAGAACTACCCATATTAATAAAAAAACCATTGATCCAATGGAAAAATGGCCAGACATGAAAGATGCCTTAGAACTATAACATGTTCAGATGCATTCATTTAATACGAAAAATGCTAATTAAAATTATCCTGAGATGCTGTTTTCTGATCGCTAAAATACATAAAATTAACATACTCCCTACCAAAACGTGGAAAAATGTTTAAATTGGCATAGTGTGGCAAACTAGTAACTGCAGGTTGTCAGGATTTTTTTTTTTTTAAAGATTTTATTTATTTATTTATTTGACAGAGAGAGAGAGAGAGAGAGAGAGAGAGATCACAAGTAGGCAGAGAGAGGGGGGAACCTGGCTCCCCACTGCGCAGACAGCCCGATGCGGGGCTCGATCCCAGCACCCTGAGATCATGACCTGAGCTGCAGGCAGAGGTTTAACCCACTAAGCCACCCAGGTGCCCCAGGAATTTTTAATAAAACCTCTGAAATGAATACTGACATTATTAACAGGGTAAAAGTGCCCTTGTGGTTACTTTTGTTTGACCTGTCTGCTTGTTTATTTAAAGTTAAAAAAAAATGCAACTGCATCCTCCATAAATAACCTCTGGTCCATGAATCCTACTACAAGATATGAACTGCAGGTCTCTGCAAAGGCGATCTGTGGTAGCCAGCTCCAGCGAAGAACGGTCTATCACTTTTTTCCCCTGGTACTTGTAAAAATGAATGGATTAGGGCATCTTCAGTCTGGGGGAATAGCAAGCAGCAAGGTTAGCCACTTTGCCAAGCTCTCCCTAGACAAACTCTAGCACATACTCCTTCCTGGGCTTGATATACATTAAAACTTTCTCACAGAGTAACTCAAGTCATTGTAAGTTGCAAGGGAGGTCAGACCTGATTCTCACAAAGCTAGAACCCTCAAAATATATATCCCTTCCGAAGGTAAGGTGACTGAAACTGCTTGTCACCTCTGTACCCAGCTTCATACAATCTGTAAAGAATTGTATTTATTTCTTCTTTATTTCATACAATCTGTAAAGAAATTGTTTTATTTCTGTGAATAGATTGTATCTAGCACTAGTGACTAATGATTATTTCTACAAACCTTCAATCTTAAAAGTCTTAAAAAGATTTCTCTTGGGACACCTGGGTGGAGTTGGTTAAGTGTCTGCCTTTGATTCAGGTGATGATCCCAGGGTCCCACATCTCCCTCCTTGCTCAGCCAGGAGCCAGCTTCCTCTGCCTGTTGCTCTCTTTCTCCCTGACAATTAATAAAGTCTTAAAAAATATATATATTTTTCTTGGTCTCAGATAATAACCATTGTTAGTTATATTGTTGATACCCAGGAGTTAAAAATTGAGGTCCAAAGGTTCAGAATGCTCCAAGGAAAGAGTAGTTTATTGAATAATGTCACCTTATGTAGGAAACCAAATGCCACAGATGCATTAAGTCTAAGAAGGATGGGGAACTGTCAAAATTAACACTGCAGCTCAATCACAAGGTCAAGGGTTCACAAATTTGCCTACATATTAGAATTTCCCTAATGAATCACTCTCAAGTGGTAAGACCCATTCATCCATATTTATACTCAGAGAGCAGTCAAGCGAAAGGTGCCTCTTTACCTTCCCTACTCAGAGAGGCTCTGTCTGACCACCAGGTCAAGAAAGTCCCTTTATTTTCTATCACAACACACTTCTGCTTCAAGAGAACCCATTCATTCATTTATACGTGTAACACAGAAGGTGCCAAAGCAATCTTGAAATGTAGGACACAGGGGAGGTTTAACACATCCTTACTTCAAAAAGTACTACAAAGTTACTGTAATAAAACATGGGGAAGTGGAATACAGACAAAGCAATGATCATAGAATAGAGAGCCCAGAAATAAACCCTTCCATTTATGGTCAAATAATTTTCAACAAGGGTGCCAAGAAAAATCATTTTGACTATTCAGGGTCCCTTGGGATTCTGTATGAATTTTATGATGGTTTTTTCTATGTCTGCAAAACACATTGTTGGGATTTTAATAGAAATTGCATTGAATTTGTAGATCACTTTGACATCAGGAAAATTTTTTTAAACCTACTAAATTTTATCCAGCATTCTTCTTAAACTGGAAAAGCAATCAATTCAAATGAAAACTTAGAATGAATTTATATGCCATATTAGCAAGGATCCAGTACTGAAGTTACGCTTTTCATGGAAGTTACCAAGCTTTTAGCACATTTACAAAGACCTTCATTTTAAATAGAGAACCCCTCCCTAAAAAAAACAAGGGGGGCAGGGCCTAATGTTACCACACAAGAAAACCCAAACCCACCAATACCTTACCAGCCAAGGCTAGCTGAAGCCCACTAATATCCACAGACTGGCCCATGTTTCCAACGTCCATCAGTGCAATCTGTCGAGGTGTCTTTTTGAAGAGTTCTCTTGGGGGTGCCAGCATCAGCTGGGAAAGAAAAAACTTTTCTGGTGGAGTTATAGGAGGCAAAAATCCTGTAAATAAAAACGTATAACAATTTCTCCAATGGTTATTTTTAAAAATTTATTTGACTCTGGTAAAATTAACATATGCTACTTGCCATCTCCACTCACATATTTTAAAGACAAAATTATAATGAAATTTCAGGTAACCAAACATATACATTTATGAAAATGTAATTAAATATGCCATTTGAAATTCTCTGATTTGTGGCAATATCAGTGAGACTTAAGTTTTTTTTTTTAACTGTGAAAAACTGTTGCAAGGGCGCCTAGGTGGCTCAGTTGGTTGAGTGGCTGCCCTTGGCTTGGGCCATGATCCCGGAGTCCTAGGATCGAGCCCCTGGTCCAGCTCCCTGCTCAGTGAGGAGCCTGCTTCTCCTGCCTGCTGCTCCCCTTGCTTGGACGCTCTCTCGCACACTCTCTCTCTCAAATAAATAAATAAAATCTTAAAAAACAAAACAAACAAAAAAACTTTGTTTCCAACATGCAAAGGCTGAAGCTTACACATGCAAGCAAAAACAAATAAAAAAGCTAGTGCTCAGAAATGCTTTTCTTTCTCCTCTAACGCTGTGAGCAACTGTACCAGCAGAAGAGACAAGGAAGCCTCAGCAGCGCAAATATGCATCTCATACCTGCTTCAATGCACAGTGCAGCTACAAAATTCCCACAGTGCCAAATGCTGTTCTCTTCTGTCCCACATTCAGTTGCTCACCAAGCCTCATCCATCTCACAGCAGCATTGACACTAGATTCTGTTTCCTCATCTCCATCCCCTCCCCTCCTCTCTGGCCAGGACTCTAGGCCAGCCTTCCTAATTTCCCCAGCTCCCAGTTTTGACTCCTACCCACCAATCCATCACCCACAGTCCACATTCCCACTTACTACTTATTTATACTATTTCTAGGTACACATCTGCACGTTACTTAACCTGTTTACACAGAATTAAACCCAAAATTCTGCACCATTATAAAACCCTTTATAATCTAGTCCTGATCCACTTTCCTAATCTCATCTCTTGAACTCCATTCCAACCCACATATCCTACACTCCTCTTGCACCGAATCTCCCAGATTCTCGATATTCCTGATTTCAAAACATCCAATATACCCAGTTTTTTAAGAATACCTGACAGGGCCACACACTTCCCTCACACACCCCCTACCTCATCTCTAATCAATATCCAGCAAAAACATGACTCCCTCTGAGAATGTCTCCAGCCACAAAGGTAGCTGTTCATCTGTGCCACTGAACATTTAGTATGTGACATCTAGTACAACACTTACTACATCAGCTTATGGCTACATTTATGTCTCCCCAACCAGACCACAAGCTTGAGTGCAGGGAAGCCATCTTATTTACATCTAGATACAGTCTCAATCCTACCTCTGCATCAGAATCACCTGAGAAACTTAATAATGGTTAGCAATTATTATACTTTCATTCCTCATAATAACCCTGTAAGCTAGGAATTATTATCTGCATTTTATAAACAAAGAAACTGAGGCAAAGAGAGGTAAAATAACCTATCCATGGAATCTTTCCCTGGCAAATTTCTGTTTACAGTGCAGTCTACGGTCTGAATCGAGGTTTAGACTCATGGCATTTGAGAATGACCATAAGTCATCCTCCCTTTGCCTATAGGCTGAGTAAATCCCACACTGTCCCCATTCTCTGCTAAGGGCCCCCAAGGATGGTGGGTTGGGTTCTGACTTCCCATGGTATGTTCCATTACTTTCTGGGCATTCTTAAACCTTCTGAAGGCCTAGTTCAGTACTAGTACCCTAAGGGCATTTTATCCAACATGAAGTTTGCCCCTCTTACATAAGAGCAGTGCAGGAAACCAACCAGAAGATGCTTTAGATCCAAAAGGGGTGCCAAGCATGAACACCAACTAGCTTACAAAGAAGCCTCCTGTGCTATGAAAAACTTGGTGTTATCTCAAAATCCACTGCCTTCACCTTTTAACTCTGTATAGTGGCCCCTACCTATACAGTGCTCTTTTTCCCACTGGTTTAGTACTATGAGGTCAAACTGTTCCCTACCTCTATCTACTTCCCCCAGTACTCTGGTCTTTGTCTTAGTTTTCCATGTGCTCTATCACTAATCACCATCCCTTCTGTGCGTTTCTCCTTTCCTGGCTCAGTTGTTCTCCCAAAGTCAAGTCTCAAAGAATCTCTTTGAGTTTAAAAAAAAAAAAAAAAAAGGCAGCCTCGAATGAAGCCCACTGATCTGACCTCACCAATACTGCACAAATATACATTTTACATAACGTCCAGTAGTCATGCCTTTCCTGAGTTAGGCCATGAACTTGAGACTACCTTATAACCTCTCCCCATCACGTCATTCAGAGACACGCATCAGACCAACGAAGGTGGCTGCAAAGTCCTTAAACACCATATAATGTCTATTTCCGTCCAACAACTTCTTCGGGTTCTGAACTTTTATTTACTCTACTTAATTCTACTTACTCGACTGGACTTAAAACCCGGGCAGAGTGTCATTAGTTACAACGTCACACACCTGAGACGGGCTCTACATTAACTGAGACTGAGTTGCTAGCTGTCATGCTCCACTCAGCTGCGTGACTTTACGGCCCGTACAGTGGAGAGGAATAATCTGCGGTGCCCTGAATCTGTAATTAAGCTACCCCTTCTCCAAACTTTGCGGGGGTGGTGGTGGGGGGATTTGATAATTTCAAAAGGAGACCATTTCACTTGGGGATGAACTCTCGCACAAGCTCAGGCGTTAAGTGCCCAGTCTATCCACAGCGCACACCTGTCTTCGGGAGGGAGGGGCCGCACGGACGAGGGGAGGCGCGCCTCGGGCGTACCTGAGAGCGGCGGCCTGTCTGGCTCCTGGCCGCCGCGGGCCGGTGGCGCGGGGTTGAGCAGGTGCGCGAAGCTGGCGGCAAAGGGGTTGGCGGCAAGCGGCTCCGTGCGGTACATCTCCCAGAGCAGGTAGAGTGCGGTGAGGCGTTGCGCCGCGCTGGGCAGCAGGTCCGGCTGCTGCAGCAGCATGACGAGCACCGAGCCCAGGCGGAAGTGGTCGGCCTTGCTGAAGTAGTGGTGAAAGGCGGTGGACAGGCCCTCGAAGGTGCTGCCGCCGCCCGCCTCCTCCGAAATGATGCTCAGCAGGCTCGAGAGCTCCTTCGGGGTCAGGCTCATCCTGCCCGTGGGCCCCCCCGGGCCTCCACTGCCCAGCCCGGGGCCGCCTGCTCCGCTTCTGCCGCCGGCGGAGCCCCCCGCACCGCTCCTGGACGTCGACCCCGCCGCTTCCCGGGCACCCCTTTGCTCTGCGGCGGTGAGTAGCCGGCCAGACGCCGAGCTCACCCCGCCACCGGGCATCAACCTCACCCGCCTGCCCTGCTTCCCGGCCGCAGTGGCCCTGGCGCCGGCTCGCCCCGTCCCCACGGCCGTAAAGCGCGCTGTTACACGACAGCGTCGCAAACAAAACACGTCGGGGAAGCCAGACCTCCGCAGAGCAGAGGTGCAACTAGGAGAGTACGCGAGGCGGCTGGAGCGAGATCAGGGAGAAGATCTCTAGTGGCTGGGTGGGCGGGGTGAAACTGCCGGAAGTGGGGTGGGGGCCTGCGAGGTTCTGGCCTCGCCTGGCGGAGGTCCTGCCGCGAGACCTGCCGGCGCTGGGGGTGGGGTCTGCACCTCAGTGACCCCAGGCGGACTTCCTAGGTGTTCCCCAGGCACCGCCTGGCACCGGGCGACGGTCCAAGTGAATGCGGGCCACGATATTGTCTGGAAGAATGTCTTAAATTCTAAATAGTTTTTTCAATATACTATACATGACTGTTGGTGATTTTAAACTGTTTAAATTCGAGTCACCGAACAAGAACATTTCTCATAACCTAATTTCCAGTTTTACAGTCCTTTTGCACAAATGGGATCATATTGCACTTGAGGGTTTTGTACATGGTTATTTTAACAGGATTTTGAGAAAAGGTTTCCAATAAATACTCATTTACAAAATTGTTGTGCAGCTTTTTACTTTCTCTGCCCTAAGACACTGATTCTGGGCCTTGACTGTGGTTGGAAGCCCCCCGAGAACCTTTAGCAATAATAAAGCCAGCCCCCAAAGATGGCGGCTTCGGTATTAAAAAATACAAAACACCTCCCCAGGTGACTCTAATGGGAACTCTGGGCTGAATCCCGAGTGGGTTTCCCCAGACTTGTCCAGTTCTTCCCTAAGCTTCTAAAGGAACCTAGGGAATTTCTCCAGCGATTTCCACAAGGCAAGTTGGGGAAATCCAACTGCGCTGAACAATGCTGGCAGCTCAAGAATCATTTAGTTAAGCGCCACCTTCATTCTAAAGTAAAACTGAAGGGAGAGAACTGGCGGGATCACCAGTATGCAAATTATGAAGTCTTCAACTTACTGCTAGATTACCCATTAGTAGGTCTTGCCAAAACAACATTTTTTTTTTTTTTTTTTTAAAGTGGAGCCCAACAATGACCTTGAACTCAGGAACCTGAATCAAGACTAGCTGACATCAACAGTTGGAGGCCCAACTGACTGAGCCACTCAGGTAGCCCCAAAACAACATTTCTAACAGCCAATACAATTTGGTAATGCCTGGACTGTTGGGCCCAATCCAACCTTTTAACTCTATATAGTGGCCCCTACAATTAGCTTGAAAATACTCTCATTTTGGGGTGCCTGGGTGGCTCAGTTGTTAAGAGTCTGCCTTCAGCTTGGGTAGTGATACCAGGGTCTTGGAATAGAACCCCCTATTGGGCTCCCTGCTGCGGAAAGCCTGCTTCTCCCTCTCCCACTCCCACTGCTTGTGTTCCTTCTCCTGTTGTCTCTGTCAAATAAATAAAATCCTTTAAAAAAATTCTCATTTTTTTCCCTATGGTAAATAAACATGGGGTTTGAGCCATTTTACATTGTGGGTTCTATTTGTAATAGCAATATATATATATATATATATATATATATATATATATATATCTGTGTGTGTATATATATATAATATATATATAATGTATTAAGTGTGTGTGTTTTACTGTTTTTTGAAGATGTTTCAAAATATTTGAACATATGATCCACCACCACCAAAAGAACTAAATACTTTTCTTTCTGTAGGACCATTTTCAAAATTGAGATGATATCCAGAGTTTCCTCATGTTCCCTGAAAACAACTCTCAGGTCCTGCATTAGTTTCCTGATAGCAGCCACGAACTTGGTGGTTTAACACAACAGAAATTTGTTTTCTCACAGTCCTGGAGGCCAAAAGTCCAAAATGAAGGTGTTGGTGGGCAGGGCTATCTATGTTCCCTCTGAATGCTCTAGGGAAGAATTCTTCCTTGTCCCCTAGGTTCTGGTGGTTGCCAGAGTCTCTGGCATCCTTTGGCGCCACTTCTGTCTCTGCCTCTGCAGTCACATGGCCTTCTTCCCTGTGTGTCTGGGTGTCACATGGCCTTCTTATGGGGACACCAGGGAGAAAGGGACAGGCGGGGCTAGATAGGGAGAGATAGGTAAGGGGGCTACTGGATCAGGCTCACAGAAATCCCCAAAACGTGGAGGTGTAAGGAAATCAGAGATAAGGGAACATTCTAGAGCACCCTCGCTCTTGCTGTCTGAGGGAGAGTTTTATTTATCATGGTCTCCTGTGGTCAACAGAAAATAATCAGACCCTAAAAGGAAGTAAGCCATTAAAGATGTTATCACTAGTCCTTAATCAATGGTGCTGCCAGTAGAGAAGTCAGAAAGATTTAAGTTCCCTGGTTAGCTTTCAATAAAAGACCAACCCTAAAAGCCCTCAGTGGCGGCTCTGTTGGGACCCCTCTCCCGAGAGCTTTTTTTTTTTCCTGGACTCTTGCTTAATAAAAACTCCTATCGCTTTACTCACTCTCCTTTGTCCTTGACATTCATTCTTCAACTCTGGGAGACAAGAACCTAGCTCTACCACCTCACCAGTTAGTGGACTGAGGGTCCCCCTAATCCCATAGGATCTCACCTTCATTGTTATCAGAAACCCACCTTCGTACTTTGGGGCCAACAATAACTCAAAGGCAGAGTCTGGGCTAAAGACTACTGCTTTTTTTTTCTTTTTTAAAGATTTTGTTTATTTATTTGACAGAAATCACAAGTAGGCAGAGAGAGAGGCAGGCAGGGAAAGAGAAGGGGAAGCAGGCTCTCCCAGTTGAGCAGAGAGCCAATGTGGGGCTTGACCCAGGACCCTGAGATCATGACCTGAGCTGAAAGCAGAGGCTTAACCCACTGAGCCACCCAGGCACCCCATGCAGTTTCAATGACATCTACAAAGACTCCATTTCCAAAGAAGAACACGATCTACGGTTCCAAGAGGACATGAATTTTGGGGAGACACTATTCAACCCAGCAGAGGCCAAGGGGAGAAAAACATTTTCCTTGGCAAAAGGAAATCTTCCAACTAGATTAATAATTAGATTTACAGGAGACAGATTAACAGGAGGAAAAAAAACCAAATTTTTATTACATGGGCAGAGAGGTCCAATAATGAAATTGAAACCTCAAGAAATGACCAAGACAGGAAGTTTTCATACTTTATAGACAAAGAGAAATAAATCTGTGAGGAACTGACAGATTTCATTTTTCTTTGACAGGACAAAGAAAACAACTTTGGAAGCTTCCACGAGTAAGGAATTCTATGCAGAATTTGGGTTGGGGTAGGAAATTAGTAAGAGGTAACGGGGTGTTTGTACAGGTTTCTCTGCTCTAAATTTCCCATCTCTGATGATGAGGGTGTCTCTTTACCTCTGAGTACAGGGAGGTTACTGCTCACAAGGAAGATTTCAGGGGGGCAGAGGAGGGTCTGAGTGCCCTTCTTACACAGGCTGCCTCTTAAGAAGTTTTATTTTATGGGGCACCTGGGTGGCTCAGTTGGTTAAGCATCTGCCTTTGGCTCAGGTCAGGATCTGAGTCCTGGGATCAAGCCCTGCATCAGTTTCCCTGCCCAACTGGAAGCCTGCTTTTCCCTCAGCCTGCCGCTCCCCTTGCTTGTGTTCTCTGGCTTGCTCTCTCTCTCAAATCAAAAAATAAAATCTTTTAAAAAAAGAAATTTTATTTTAAATAATCAGTATGCCAAAATGGCACACCTTGAGTAGCTTATCCTCAGCCTTCTGAGGGCCCTAAGCTCTCCTGAATGTATGCCTTGGTATCCATCCTTCACATTCATCTCACCTCTGTCCTTAGACTCAAAATCAGCATTTGGGGATTTAACGAATACTGTTTTGAGCTCCCAGTATGCGTCAGTGTTGTAGGCACTGTCGAAAGGCAGTGAACAATAGATCAAGCCCTGCTCTCATAATGTCAGGGGAGCTTGGTGACCTCTTGGTCAGCCCCCACAGCAACTTTTCTAATAGTTAATTAACTATTTTAATTAACTAATTCTCCCCTCCCCCATATTGGATAATCACTTCAACCTTTATGATAACTGACATTACCATATAGTCAAAACATCCCACTGAAATGGATTTAAATTCTTTCTAGATCTTGTTTCCCTTGCTTCAGATAGAGTGTGCAGACACAGTTTAATGCTCCTCTGAGACAGTAATGACAAGGGCCAATTAGGCATAAAGAACTACTTGCTCTGTACAAAGTGTCCTCTAGTTGTTATACTTTTTTGAATTCTTGGGATCTGTCTTTAGTTTTTCTTTCTTTCTTTCTTTTTTTTTAAGATTTTATTTATTTATTTGACAGACAGAGATCACAAGTAGGCAGAGAGGCAGGCAGAGAGAGAGGAAGGGCAGCAGGCTCTCTGCTCTGCAGAGAGCCCAATGTGGGGCTCCATCCCAGGAACCTGAGATCACAACCTGAGCGGAAAGCAGAAACTTTAGCCCACTGAACCACCCAGGCACCCCTGTCGTTTGTAGTTTTTCTACTTCTCTCATCCCTGTTCATTTGTCGTTATTCTTCCCCGAGAGTGAGACTTGCAGCTGGGGTTCACACAAGTGGTGCAGAGAGAGGGTGTGTAGTTGCTAGAAATTGGATCCTGTGACGCTGGTTCAGAAACTTCTCAGAACACTTGCTGCTTCCTTGCTGAGCTTTGGGTAGCCAAGGTCGAGGGACATTTGGCTTTCATATCTGAGCTAAACTCTTGCCGGATGTTTGCTTTTGTTTTCATCCTTTTGTAGACATTCTTGTGCTTTGGGGGCACCTGTGTAGTTCACTGGGTTAAGCGTCTGCCTTCAGCTCAGGTCGTGATCTCAGGGTCCTGGGAAGGAGCCTCGCAGCAGGCTCCCCGCTCAGCAGGGAGTCTGCTTCTCCCTTTCCCTCTGTTTCTGCCTCTGCTCTGCTTTTCTCTCTCTCAAAAAATAAAATTAAAAAAAATTTTTTTTAAGAAATTCTCATGCTTTTTTCTCATTGTTCTCTTTTCTGGGCATTTATTTCCCTTTCAAAGGTAGCTGGAAATGTCCATGAATT